GCTGCGAGTCGCGCGCTTGCTTGGCCACGTGCAAGCCGGGTACAAAGAGGCCAAACTGATGTTGCCGCTCATCCCTTGTGAAGCAGTGCAGGCCTGAGCCCTCCAGGTTGGTCAACCAAAGCGCCCAGTAGCACTGGTGGGCTTTCTGAGCAAGTTAGCAAAGCCCTTAGGTGTTGCCAGGGGTGCCTTGCTCTCGCTGTCCGTGCCCCGCAGCCCTGGCAGGAGCCTCTACACAGCTCCCTGCAGAGACCTCTGGGCTGTGAGAAGATCCTCTGCAGCTACACACATGTGACCACCAGCCAGTTTCTAAGCCTTTGCCTTGCTTTCTCACTGGGAGGGAGGTCTGAAGTCCTTTGGATCAACCCCAGGGCTCACTGAGAGATAGGTGGAGACCCGTTCCCCTCCGAGGGCCGTGCAAGGGCCAGAAACTGCCTTCCACAGCCTGGAGGGACAACCTTAAGATTGCAGCAGTAACCTCCTCCTCCGCAGCATGAGGGTGACAGTACAACCGAGGATGTCCTTGGCCATGGTTTGCCCTGGGAATGCTGTGCTCCGGGAGCAAGGCGCTATGGCCCATGGAAGCGGCGGCACTTGTTGCAGTAGCTCAAATGAATGAATCCTAAAATAGAAAGTAAGCACAGCTTGTAGCTCACCCCTCACGGTGCTTTGGAAGGCTTGTGATTTGGGCAGAGCTTCCCTACCCCTGTGCAGGGGGAAGGCCCATCTCCTCGCTCGTGCCGGACCTAGCACAGGGGAGTTCCTGACTCTGTTTTATTTGCGTGAAGAAGGAGAGATTGCTACAGCTAGCGTGGAAGTTTTGGGTAGAAACAAACTGCGCGGTTTGAGAACTCGCTGATGGCTGCTCGCTTCACTGCAACCAAAGCCCTGAGGGCTGCGCCACGTCTTGACCCCAGTGTGCTTCCTTCGCATCTGGCGTGGGGGCACCTTCCTCGGCGGACCTCGTGTGCGCAGGCTGCTCTTCGTGGCGCATCAGAGAGGGGCTGGTTGGGGAGCCTGGGGGAGAGGAGGGGTCGGTGACTGATGCCTGGGAGCAGGACAGGATCTCAGCAGGGGTGGTGTGGGGACGGCAGCGTACGTGGGGAAGGTGGAGTATCAGAGCACTGAAAGGAGTGGGGGTTGCTCGAGGTTGTGGTGGAAACAGAGGCTGAAGGCGAGCGAGCGGCGGCATGTCAGCGGGGTGGGGATGAGCAGCAGCTCCGGGGATGGGCTCCCAGGCTCTTGTCCCTCGGTCCCTCCAATATCCTGGCAGGGAGGAGACGGAGAGGCAGAAGCCCAGGAGATCTTGGTGTCACGCAGGGGTGGCTATTAATAACACTTACACTTTCCCCGTGGTTGTGCTGTGCAAGTCAAGCGTCCTTGCCAGGGAAAGACAGCTTGTAAACTGAAACAGGCTCCTGCGTGCCCGCTGCCAGCTCCAGTGCTGCAGCAGCTCCCCAGCACCCACAGCGAGCTGGGACGCAGGGGTGTAGCCGGCTGCCATCCGGACCGGGTGCTCGTCACGGAGCGGGACAAAACTCTCAGCCTCGTTTCCCTTGCTGTAGCCCTGTGGTTGGAAAAAATGCTTTCCAGTCGACTAACTGGAGGTTTGCTGAAAGGTCAGGAGGAACTGATGGTGTTTTTCAAGTCCAGACTTCTCTAGGGCTCGAGGCTTGTGCATTGTGCTGCCAGTGGTGTCCTGCAGTAGGGTCCTCTTGCCATCCTTGGTGCCAGGGGAGGGGTGCCAGATTTGGCACTGTATGAAGGTAACCTGGGATCTCTCTTGCTTCTGGGTGCTGGCAGGGATAGACCTGGCTGCTGGAGGGACAGAAGGAATAATAATGTAGAGGAAGGGCCGAGCAGGTGTATGGCACAGCATCCCCCTGCGTGTTTAAGAGCACAGAGGGCCTGTTCAGTACGGTACATGAGTTTGCTTGAGGCTAGTGAAGCAAAGCAGAATAACAGAGGTGAATATCAAGAAGCTTCTCCTGTCATGGGCAGAGCTTTTGCCTTGAGGGACGCTACGTGTTTAGTCCTAGGAGTTTTGGAGCTACCACCACTGCAGGAGGGCTGGCTGCTGGCTGTCCAGAGAGCAGAGATCTCCTTATTTGCTGATCCATGAACTCTTTGGCCACCGAAGTTACAAGATGCAAGTTTTTCCTCTTCGACCCCTGCTTGACTTTCCAAGGGCATTTAGCTCCTGCCACCCAGGTATACTTCTGTCCTCAGAGTAAGAGGTTGCAGCTTGCTCTGAGTGCCCAGGGAGCTTCTTGCAGCAGCCCTCTCCTCCCCCAGCTCCTGAGGACAGCACTGCTGCCTGCCTGCGCTCCGGGACACGTTCCTGCTTCAGCAGCACCTCTGCCCAGCGATGCCAGGCAGGGAGCACAGGAGGCCGAGGAGCTTCGTGGGATCTGGTTAGAAGAGAAAACACATCCCAAGAGCTCTGATTGGAGATTGTGAGCGGACCAGAGCTGCTGTCTCCTTCCTCATTCACAGCAGGAGATTGAAATGATAGTGCTTAGCTGCTGTAAGTCGAGTTGATATCCTAGTGGGTGCAGCAGTACTTCCTTCCCCACCCTGCAAATGCCAGGCCGCCTCCAACCAGCCTCCCTACCCGAGCCGAGCGATGCAATCTGCAAAGCAGCCGCGGGTGCCGGCTTTTCTCCATCTTGTCCCAGTGACAAACAGCAGAGATCCCCTGAGATGTTAGTGCTGGTGTTAGGCCAGGGGCTTCCAGGGGCTTGGCTCCTTCCTCTCTGCCTGGTGTGCGGTTCCCCGGCTGCTCTGCCCGCAGCTCTGCTGATGCACATCAACCCTGGGTACCCCCCGGCAGCCTCTCTGTCTGCTCCGGCGGTCTGTCCATCTGCTCCTGCCAGCAGCAGCTCTCCACGTCTGTGATACACCATTTGGAGCTCAGATTGGAAGTAAGTCGCGAGAGGTGGGGGGTATCTTCACCCATCGGATCTGAGCTGCCACGTGCTGCTGTTTCAGGCTCTCGGAGGGTTGCCTGATAATAACCTTCACCACTGGTGGCCAGAGTGTGAGTCCATGTGCCACTTTGCAGGCAGCCCTGAAGATAAAAAGGACCTTAATCAGCTAATACCCAAACATAAATGTCAAGCCAAGGTTGTTCTAGCAGATTTCCTCATGAGACTGTGGTGCAAAAAGGAAGGAAGCTGTGTTGAGAGATCTTCCTGTCCATAGCAGCAGCTCGGCAAGTGCTACAGCAGCTTCATGCCAGTGAAATATCTGGGTCAGGAGGGAGCATCCGTTCGGCTCATTCAGGCTGTAGCTGGACAGTACATCTTCCCCAGCAGCTGAAGTCAGCCAAAAAGGGTCTGCTGCAGTCTGCTACACCCAGGCAGTGTTCTCTCCTGGGTTTTTTAACACGTTTTCTTTGTTCAGACAATTTTTAACACCTGTTGGTGATGATGCAATGTACAGCACGTCACCCTGCAGGCGCTGGGCAGAAGGGACAGGAGCAGAGCACTGCCGTATGGGGGACAGGCTGGAAGCAGGGTGAGCAGCAAAATGTGCTTTTGTTCTCTGCAAAACTGCACGGGCCTCGGCGGTGTGAGAGTTAACCTGCTGGTGACCAAATACCTGCACTGCTCCATGTGGTAGGACTTGAGAAATCCCTCTGAGGAGGTGGCACTTTGTGTTTGCTTTCAGTTCAACCAGGCTTTATCTGCCCTGGAAGGGCGTTACTGTTCTTCCTTCCCTCCGTGCTATGGTACTGGGTACAGGCATGGCAATGAGACTGTAGGATCTAAAGAGCTGGCTTCTTTGCCTACCAGGCTGGAGGAGACCAAACCAAGCCTGGCCTTCTCCAAAAGTACAAACTCAGCTTTGTGCTCATCTAAAAGAAATAGAGGTACAGCCCAACAGGTTGCCTGTGCTACAAGCACGGAGCTCCGGTTTGTGGTCCAGAAAATAACACGTACGTTCCATCTTCTGTGTATTTCCCAAACAAAAAAGGAAACTTCTGACAAATTTGCCTGTCTGTGTGGACCTTGGAGCAGCGGATGTTTGGACCAAGGTGTTCTCCTGAAGGCCCTCTGATATTGCTGACCTGCAAGCGAGTGTGTAAAAGAGCATGAGAAGGGAGGAAGGTAGAAAGAAGTGGAGCAGATGCCAGTGTTGGTGCAGTGGTGAGCAGCACGCCCATACCCTCGTGATGGGCAGAGGAGCTGCCTTGCACAGCATGGAAGTTGTTGAGAGTGACGGTGGTGGCTTGTGTGTGCCTACAGGCTGCCACAATCCAGAGTCCCCTGCCTTGGGAGCAAAGGAAGAGCCAGAAGTTTGCTTCCACCAATCTGTGGATCTTGGTGGTTTTTTGTGGGTTTTGTTTTTGGTTTTGTTTTTTTTTTTTGAGTTGCCCTCAAATAAATCCTCTCTATTTAGTGGCTGAAGAGAGGCGGTGGCTGGAGGGTGGCAAGCGAAGCGCTAGCTCTGGAGGAGGGGAGCACTGGAGCCAGCCAGGTTGAGCCCCTTCCGCTCCAGCCTTTTTGTGCTGAGCTGCCAGTGCTGAAACTGCTGCGGCACCTTCCACCTGTGGGCCAGGGCTTTCCACAGACCGTGACGGCGTCCGAGCAGCCTCTCAAGCTTCAAGGGCCGGGCAGGGAAAGCTCGAGAGCCCCGGTAAAGCTCTTTCCACCAGGAGAGGGAAGTTCTGTGCAGGACGGATGGGGTGATTTTCCTAGCTCTCCTCCATGCTGCTCGAGCTCTCCCAGCCAGCTTCTACCAAATCTGCCTGTCCTGCTTTTACTTGCCCTGTTGTTTTTTTTTTCTTTAGGATTCACAAGGTCTTAGTATCAATTTGCTGCAAATTTAGCGAGGCTGGTGCTTAGCCAGAGCTGTTCCCATGGGGAAACCAAGTGGACCAGCAGCACCAGGAGAGTGGTGGGGGTAGTCGCCAGGGCTACCTCGGGGTGCAGGGGCTCTGCTGACCCCACAGCGGTGAGCAGGGGACGCGGAGGGTCCCGGCCAGGCAGTGAGGTCTGAGCCTGCCCTGCGGTCTGAGCTGTGAAACTCAAGGAACGGGGGAGCTGTGGGGAGCGGGAGCCCCAGCAAGCGGGTGCCAGCCCTGCCACACGCCCCGGGTGGCATCCCCGTGTCCCCCGCTCCTGCCCTCTGTCCCCTTCCGTCTCCCCACCCCACTCCCCTGACCCCCGCAGCCCAGCCCAGGGATGCCTATTTAATTCCCGGTCTCTGTGTTAACAGCCACCGTCCGGGTGCGATGGAAACCTTTTTCAGGCGGCACTTTGGGAGGAAGGGGCCGCGGCGGGCCAGCGCGGTGGCCGTGCCCACGGGCAAGGCCAGGCGTCGCTCCCAGGCTGGGCTGCCCTCCGCCTCGCTGGCCCAGCGCCGCCGTGGCTCGGGTGCCCCTCTGCCAGCCCTCTCCTGCCTGGGGCTGCCCCGGCACCCCGGCCCCCGCCGCCGCTCCAGCACCACGCCGCCCTGCCTCAGCCCCAGGTTCGCCGTGCAGACGAAGCGCGGGGGCCGGGTGCGTGCCATCGACGCCCACTTGGTGGGTCCCTCCATCCTCCTGGCCAGCCTCATCCCCACCGGAAAAGTGGGGGACGGGGCGCCCCGCCCCGACAGCTCCGGATCCGAGTCTCCGGAGGATGCCGGGGTCAGCGCGTCGGCGGGAGGCCGGCGCGAGCGGTGGGCTGAGGAGAGGTGGCTGGCCATGCTGCCCCGGCTGCGGCCGCTCCAGGCCGGGCTGCTGTCGCGGGGTCCCCGCTGCCTGCGGCGAGCTTCTTCCCACCGCCTGCCCACCGAGCTCATGTCCAACCGGGCTGCCTACGGCTTGCCGGGCCGCTACCGCCGCCTCAGCCAGCGCCGGCGCTCCAGCGATGCCCACTGGCCCGGGCTGCTCCCCTCCGGCAACCCGCAGCTGCTGGCCCAGTTCTGCGGGGGGGTGGCTGGAGCCGGGTGCCCCCCTGTCACCCTCCCCGAGTGTTTGGGACCGGAGCCCGCTCGCCACGCTGCCCCGGACGGCTGGAGCCCCCGGCTGCTGTATGTATGGCGGCGGCGTGCGAGCGGGTGATGCCTCGGGGAGGGGAGGCTGGGTGCCAGACCCCGGCTCGCTGGGGAAGGAGGGAAAGGGCTCGTTGCTGCTGGCCCTGGCTGCCGTCCGTGTCTTGCAGTGCTGCTCGTGTCCCTTGAGCAATCTCCCACTCGGGCCAGCCCCCCATGGCTTGCCAGCCTGGGGCCGGAGGGAGGTGGGCAGGCCTGGTTGTGGGCTGAAAATTCACACTTTCTCCAGCTGGTTGGCTCTGCTACTCCTTTCTTTCACTCTCGCGCATCTGGGAGAAGCTCGCTAGCCCCAAACAAACAGCTGATGCTCTTTTTTTTTTTTTTTTTTTTTTTTTTTTTTTTCCCTCGCTGGTTGTGCTGGTCCCCGAAATTGCCCCATGCTGAGGTGCCTTGGTACGGGAGTGCTGCGGGGAGCCTCTGCGGGGCCAAGGTTGTCCCTGCAAAGGTGGCCTTGCTCCCTCGGGTCGGTGGAGCATCCCAGGGTGTTTTGCAATGGACCTGTCATCCCCGAGGGCTTTGACCCAGCAGGCTCAGGCTCTGCCTTTTGCTGGGTGTAAGGTGTCTTCAGCTGAGCTGCCAGCAACGTGGCCAGCACCTCTTTGTCCCACGGGACTGCCTTGCAGGAGCGGGTACTCCTCCGCCAATGGTGCTGGAGATTCGCCTCATTTCCAGCCGCTTGGTCCTGAGGATGCTTTTCTGCTCCAGCCTTACCATCCACCGTAGAAGCAGCTTGTGCTTTGCATGTATTCCTCCTCCCCTGATCTAATAGCCAGCCCCTCCTGTGTCTTCCAGGAAAGCTATTGCCAAGTCCAGCCTCCAGCACATGGTAGCCCAGCCAAACCCTGCGCTAGCCGTGAGGAACGACTCGGAGAGGCAGATACGCAGCACTGTGGACTGGAGCGTAAGTTGTAGCACGTTTTGCTGGGCGTTGCATGGAATGGGCTCCTGGCCATGAAGCAGCAGGCTCTTCCCCGGGTGAGTTTGGCCTTGACACATTTATGGCCTCTGCCGTTGCTACCAGCTGGTGCCAGTGTCTGTGCTGCACAGAAAGGCTGTGCAGGCGTGGGTGGTTCCTGGGAGGATGGTGTAGATGCATCATGGCCAGCTCTTCTCCTGGCAGCCAAGGTCTTTTGAGGAGCTGGGGCTGGGGCCAAGCAACAGGAACAGGTTTTAAGCTGCACCCCAAGGCCATAGAACAGAAGCTGTTTCAGCAGAGTCCCCTGCACTGAATTTTCCTCCTCTCAAGGGGGGATGCAAGTAGCTCCCCTGTGCAAGACCCCGAAGTTGGTTTCCCAGGGCCCTCTCATTTCCAACAAGTGGGCCATGGCGGCAGCTTCACGAGGTTTCCTCTGTGCCAGTGTCAACCCTGGTTGTTCTGTGCATCTTGTCTCCCGGCCTACACCTAGCTCCTCTCCATTTTACAGGGGCTCGGTGCTGTCTGGGGGTGCTCTCAGAGAAACGTGTTTTGTGCCTTTCAGGAGACTGCAGTCTATGGGGAGCACATCTGGTTTGAGACCAATGTCTCTGGGGACTTCTGCTACGTTGGGGAGCAGAACTGTATGGCAAAGCTGCTGGTGAGTCCCCTGGGGTCACCCACCTCCCCGGCAAGGGCCGCAGGTGCAGGCTGTGCTGCCGCTCAGCAGGGAGATTGTGAAGGCCATGCTGCTGCTGTTGGGGGACGTGTGGGGGTCTGGGGGGTTGCCAAGGTGGGGATCGTGTCCCTCCTACCTCCGCATCCCCAATTTCTGCCAGCACCAGTGCTCAGTTTGCAATGGGAACCTGATGCAGGGCTGCTGCTTGCCTGGAGATGATAGGATGATACTTCAGGGAGAGGCTGAGAGGCTGTTGGGATCCCAAACCCTTAGAAGGACAATCTGGATCCGAGAATAGATGAACAGAGGAGAAAAGTGAGAGCTGGAGACCCAGGTCTGCTGCCTCCTGACCCTGCAGGCAGCACTGATCTTCTGGGGTTGCTCCCAGCTTGCAGGCTCAGTCCTGCTTGCAGTACAGGACACGGAGCACTGATGCCATCCTGTGCCTGCCCATGGGGCTTTTTATGGGAGCCCCACAGGAGCTTCCCCCACCAGCTCCTGTGGTGCTTTCAGGCAGTGTCAGGAGAGACCAAGGACTGTGGGACAGGACAGCAGGAGAGCACCTCCCTGCTCTGTCCTGAACTTGAGAGCATCTGCTCTAGGCACACACACAGTTGCAAGGGGTCTAGGTTGTGTCTAACTTTCCCACAGGACTCGTTCTGCATCCTGAAATACATGGAGGAAGTATGATGGGAGGCTGAGCTTGCCGGTCTCTGAACACTGCTATTCACATGCATGTTTTTTCCTCCCTGTTTCTCATCCTCCAGCAAAAACCTCTCTCCAGGCGTAAATGTGCAGCCTGCAAGATTGTAGTGCATACACCCTGCATCGAACAGCTGGAGAAAGTGAGTAGAGCCTGTTATGCCCTTCCTGTGGCTCACAAAGCTGTGACAGCCTTTTCGTGGGCAGCCCTTCCTTTTGGGTAGTGAAACACAAGGACACCGGGAAACTGCAATGTGTCGTTGCAAGGAGGGGTCTTCTGAGGAGACAATACCAAAAGGAGCATCGAGTGACATGATTGGGACCCCAGGCCCCCTTTTGTGCAGTAACAGAGATATGTGAGGGGTTTCGCGGCTGGCACCGAACATCTCCAGAGGCTCTGGGCCTGCCGTAGTAGAGTAAACTCTGGTGGGTTTCCTTTGGTTTTACTGATTCCCCTCACGTGTCTTCAATCTACAGATAAATTTCCGCTGCAAACCTTCCTTCAGGGAGTCAGGATCTCGGAACGTACGGGAGGTGAGAGACATGCCTTGGACACTGCCCACATCCGCCCCGCTCTTTCCAGTTGGGTGGCGAAGATGTCAGATGCTGCCAGCACGTTGCCCGTCACAGTGCAGGCATCGATCCGCCTCCCGGCTCCGAGGCGGGTGGCACAGCAAAAGGGATGTTTCTTTGCAAGGCGGCAGCGCGGGCTGGGTGTGAGGAGTGAGGAGCTCGCAGGCAGCAAATGCGAAGCATCTGCTGGTTTGCATGTCCTAAAGCTCCTGCATCTGCATGGGGGTAGCCTGCAAACAATGTTTTCTGGGAGAGTTTTTTTCCCCCCTGCGCTGGTCCCCAAGCACCTAGGGGAGGCTGTGGCAAACACCAGGTCCCCAAGTCTCCCACAATTTGGAAGGAAGCAGAATGAGCTTCACTACTGGCTTTTATCACCCAGCCCTGACCTGGGTGCCACAGGTATTCCAGGTAGCAGTGGAAGATGCCCTCAGTGGTGCTGTTGGACCCCTTTAACCCGTGTTTTAATGTACTGGGTGTAAGAGGTGGCCTGGGACCTGTCTGCTGAGCTGCGCTGGTCATCCCTCATGCTTCACCCTCCAGCCTGCAGAGCCACTGTAGCCTCTGCAGTGCTCTGGAGTGGGTGTGGGTGGCTCAGTTTTGGGCCATTTTGGTAACGCAGCTGCTGCCCCCACACCGTGTTTGTGCTGGCACAGCAGAGGCAGAAGCAGAAAGGTTCTCAAACACAGGCTGCCTGCTCCAGAAATGCCAGTGTGACCTGGGAAGGTGAAGCTTTCAGAGTCACTTTAAACCTTCCTTTCTTCTTTTGCTTCTCCTGCCATGCATCTTTCCCATATCACTCTTAGTCCAGCTCCCATATTTGTCCTTCATTTACTTTTTGGGCTCTGCTGACAACTCTCTGCTTCCGCTCACTCCTCTGTCTCTATTTTTCTCCTCTCCAACCTCTGCAAATTTTCTCTCCCTCACCTTTCCTGGTTTTCCTTCTTTTTCTTGCAAACCCAGCTTCTCCATCCTGTCTTGCTAATACTCCTCAGCTTTTCCAAGGGTTCCTCCCTCCTGTTTCCTAGAAAGGTGCACTTCTGGCCTTTGTGCTGCCAGGGGATCCCTTTCAGGGTCAGCCCTTTCTCTAGATGTGCTTGCTGGGACCCAGAGCTGACCTCAGGGCATAGCTTCCCCTTCTGCTCCCACTGGATTAATGTCTGCTAAAGCCAAGAGGACTCTTTGTCCTTTCCCGTGTGCTTCCATCTTCTTGCCGTGGGCATCACCTGTCTCCCAGAGGACTTTCACACTTTCCACCAGCACATTTTTCACCTGGTGCTGGGGGCATCTGGGCAGAGACATTAAGGGACGGCGATGTGACTTATGGCCGAAGCGGTGCTCGGTGCTACTGCTTGCCTGCCCTCCACTGGGTTTGCTCTGCGTGAGTCTCAGTCTTCAGTTTCCCTCCCCTCCTTCCGTTTTCTTATGGGTTTAATTCCCTCTTCTTTGAGGAACATAATTTCACCTTTTGCTCCCTGAGTATTTGGCTTTGCCTTCTCCCAGAGGGTTGGGGCTGGTGCATGTGAGCAGTGGGCTTGCTGCAAGAGCAGAGGTCCTGGCTGGCCTGGGTCTATTATTCCTCCTGCCTGTTCCTGTGTTCCTTCACACACTGGGCCTTTCATTCCTTTTTTCCCTTTTTTTTTTTTTTTTCCTTTTCCCTTTAGCCCATTGTTGTCCGGCATCACTGGGTGCACCGGAGGCGGCAGGAAGGGAAATGCCGGCAGTGTGGCAAGGTGAGAGGGCATCTTGTGGTTGTTTTTTTTTTTTTCTCAGCCTGAAGGAACGCTCAGGTCAAACCAGAGCCCAGAACAGGGCTGGGGACCAGGGGCATCCCACCATTCTTGTCTGGCAGCAGCAACAGCCTACAGCAAAACCAAGCCTTGTGCCCTGTTTTGCACTGTAAAGCACTACATAAGTGCTTCCCACATAGAGTTGTTCTGCCCCTGGGCCAAATCAATCCTGGAGGGGACTGTCTTCCTGACATGCTTTCCTTGAGCAACAGGGACACCCCTGCAGAGCGTGGTGGCCTCCCTGGTGCCATAGTGGTGGTTGGGGCTATCTGACAGGGATCTGGGGGGCTCCAGCTGCAGGCACGCTCTCTTCATTAACATCTCTTTCAGTGGTAGGAAAGTCCTGTTGCGTGGTAGAAAGCTGTGAGGGAATTTCCTAAGCCTCTTATCCTTCCCTCCACAGGGTTTCCAGCAGAAGTTTGCCTTCCACAGTAAAGAGATTGTAGCCATCAGCTGTTCCTGGTGCAAGCAAGCGGTGAGCAAAGCCCCCGTGGAACATCTTACCGGCCTGTTCTGCGCCTAATAACCTCCACTTTCTGCTGGGATTCCCCGAGCTGCTTCTTTGCAGCCTGCCCTGAACAGCTCCTCTTACTGGGAGAGGCTGTATTGTGGTAGCTGTGAGCTCCTGCAAGAAACTTTCTCTTCATTGCCTTCCCATTACAAAATTCCTGTGTAGTTTCCTCCAGCACTCCCTGCACTGGCACGGGGGAGCTGGGAGGAGTGGAAGGTGGCTGTCCCCAGCAAACTGAGCAGCTGAGTTTTCTCTCTGTGTTCTCCTTCCCCAGTATCACAGCAAAGTGTCATGTTTCATGCTGCAACACATTGAAGAGCCCTGCTCGCTGGGGGCTCACGCTGCTGTCGTCGTTCCTCCCACCTGGATTCTGCGGGTCCGGCGGCCCCAGGTAGGTCACCTCAGCTCTTGTGGCTCTTTCACGACTCCTGCTCGCCCAGCAGCTCCTCGCGGAGTTTTTGGGTTTGTTTCTTTTCTCTCTAGAATCCATTGAAGTCTAGTAAGAAGAAGAAGAGGACATCATTCAAGCGGAAATCCAGCAAGAAGGGGGCCGAGGTAAGACATGAGGCGACAGGGAATGACCTTCTCTTGGGAGGGCTGAGGGAGGGGGCAGTGAGGAGCAGGACTGGGAAACAAGGGGGCTTTGCTGGATCTGTGCTGAGGTTAAGGAGGGTGAGGTGGAGGGAGGGTGCCTGCTGGCAGGGCAGATCCCAGCTATAGGGCTTACAGGGCGGCTGGGATGTTCTCTTCCTCCCACTCCTGACCTGCGTGATGTTTGGGCTCAGCTGGAAGTGGGAGTTGGCATTTCCCCCAGTTTGTTGAAGGACCCGCGGTGTCTCTTGCAGGAAGGGAGGTGGAAACCCTTTGTCATCAAGCCCATGCCAGCTCCTCTCATGAAGCCCTTGCTGGTGTTTGTGAACCCCAAGAGCGGTGGGAATCAGGTATGGCCTTGTCCTTACACCTTCCTGAGAAGGCAGCTCTGCAGGGGCATTGCCGTTTGGCTGCTGAGGTCTCATCATAGTTTTGGTGATGTCTCAGCTGCAGAAGAAGCAAGGCAATCTGCACAGTGCCAGTTTGCTGCCTGGCAATTCCCTCCTAGGCCAGGTTTTGCCTGAGTCCCCCCAGAACGATGTTGTCTTGGCCTGTCCCCAGCACCAGATGTCTTCTTTTGCCATCCACTGGGAACTCCCTATTACCTGAAGTCTTTCTTCTCCCCATAGGGAGCCAAGATCATCCAATCTTTCATGTGGTATCTCAACCCACGTCAAGTTTTTGACCTCAGCCAGGGTGGACCCAAGGAGGCGTGAGTACTGATGGAGGCAGCACTCTTCTTTCCTCCATCCCTGCCCTGGAGATTCCTCCCCAGAGCTCTTCCCATGGCTGGCAGAGGCCTGATGCTTCATAGCTCCCTTGTGCAAAGAGACCTCCAATGAGTTTGTGGTCTGAGAGGCCTTTCTAGGATACCTTGTGGTCAGTCAGTGTTTCCTGATGGAGGGCTGGTCTAATCTTAAGGCTAGTGGCAAAGGGTGAGATGAATATCCCGGATATCTTCACTTAATGTCACCTGAATGCTTTCTGCATTTTGGTTTATCAGTGTGTGCACAGACTGTGGGCCGCAAGAGCCGGTGAAGCCAGAGCTACCGTGGCTTCCCCCACTGCTGCGGCGATGGGGTGGGAGACATTCACGTGGCTGGGGGAGGGCAGGGACCCCCGCGTACCACTTTCGGCGCCTCTTCCCTCCCCTCCTCACCCTCACCCTGTTCCCTGCAGGCTGGAGCTGTACCGCAAGGTCCACAACCTCCGGATCCTGGCGTGCGGGGGGGACGGCACGGTGAGTCCCCCAGCCCCTTTGTGCCCTTCGCCCCAGGCCTTTCCCACGCCGGCAGCAGCCCTCCTCGCTGTGATCTGGAACAAAAGGGCAAAATGGCCCTGGGTGCTGTAGGTCCCCTCCCGCAGTGCTCCAGGGAGTGCTGGTCTGCCGCATGTCTGGATTTGTCGCCCTTTTGAGGGCCGGTGTCCTCACTGGGGTTACTGGTATCTCCCGCAGCACCCATTTGGAGCATTAATGGCTATGAATGGCCTCGGTGGTGGCTCAGGGGACCCTGTCTCTGCCATCGCTAGCGCTCCGAGTCACATCCACCTGCCTGCCGGTCCCTGAAATAACCAACTGTTTCTCTGCGCTCTCTTGCTCGGGCAGGTGGGGTGGATACTCTCCATTCTGGACCAGTTACGCCTCAACCCACCTCCTCCCGTGGCCATCCTACCTTTGGGGACAGGGAACGACTTGGCCAGGACGCTGAACTGGGGTGGGGTAAGTGACAGGCACAAGAGCCCGCTGCTGACAGAGGGGAACTGAGCGCTTTGGCTCTGCTTCCAGACCAGACACATGGGTGGGGATTTTCATGGGCTGGGTGTTTCGACTTTCCCTAAATACAGACCAACAAGTAAGTGCCATTTGGATGTTACTGTTCTTCTGACATTTGAATTATTCTGCATTACATTATAATCTATTAGGACACTAACAAAAGCAATCATTATTTCAAACTTCGGGAGATTTTTAGAAGGAAGATGCATTGTTTTAAATTGGAGGTCCCACTTTGTTGTGCATTCAAGTAGAATCAATCTTTCCCACACATTTTGCTCTGGGATGTCTTCCCAAAGCCCACAGTCTCTGGGGCATCTCTGTGGGTGGCAGGTAGGAGGCTCACCAAGTCCTGCTCTTCACCAGGGTTATACGGATGAGCCTCTGTCCAAGATCCTGTCGCACGTGGAAGATGGGAACATCGTGCAGCTCGATCGCTGGAACCTCCATGTGGAGCCGAACCCTGATGCGAGCCCTGAGGAGAAGGATGAGGCGGCCACTGAGAAGGTGGGACACCCCCTCCCCATGTTTGTTCCCTGCGCAGGGTGTCTGCTCAGGCAGCCCCAGCACCTGGGACTGCAGCATTGGGTTGGTGTTCCTCCCCCTGCTCCAATTCCTGCTCCTCTCCTCATGGCCCTGACCCATGGCAAGGCGCATAGAGATCAGAACTAATCGTCCACCAGAGGTTTTTAACCACAGCTTGCAACAGGTGTAAGCCCAGTCCCCTCTGAGACTGTTTCTTTAGCAGAAACATGGGTGATTACAGGTATCTCGGACAGCAGAATGTGTCCCCTTGGGCTGCGTCCCTTACCCCTAGGAACCAGGGGCCAATCCATCATCTCAGGCTGTTTGACCTCTGTATTTTCCTGGGGGGAAGGCAAGCAGGCTTCCTCAGCCTCGTGAGCACCATACATGGCTCTGCTATAGCCTGACCTTGCCTTTGCCGTGGCCACACGCTGACAGCCTCATCCTCATTCCTGCTTTCCATTTCAGCTCCCCTTGGATGTCTTTAATAACTATTTCAGCCTTGGCTTTGATGCACGGGTGACACTGGAGTTCCACGAATCCCGAGGTACCCGGGGGGGGTGGGGCTGGGGCAGGGTCTGTGGTGAGGGGGTGCCCCAGAGGTGGGCCTGTAAAATATTCCTCAGGAAACTGAACAAGAGGATTGCCCCAGGGACAGGGCTGGAGGTGAAACCTGAGGGACAAGTGGAGGCTACAGAGAGGGAAGAGGGGTGCCTCCTGGCCAAGGCTGGCTGGAGAGCCGTGTCTGGGGAGAGCTGGCAAGCAAAGTATTTCCATGTGCAGGCCAGTGACCTGGGCTTTTTTCTCCTTTCCCTAGAGGCCAACCCAGAGAAGTTCAACAGCCGGTTTCGGAATAAAATGTTCTATGCTGGGGTGAGTGTGTGGAGGATATCTGGGCATGCCTTTGTAGTAGCCGTAGCGTCAGCTGGAGCACAGGCATGACCCTGCCTCCTGCCCACACCCTAAACTCACTCATCCGATTTACACGGGCCTTCATGTGCACCCAAGCTGAGCCCCCCCCGAAGCTGGAGAGTTGCTGGAGAAAGGCTGCAGCCCTGGGAGTTGCAGCTCCTCTTTGGCTGCGAGCGCTGCTGGCGGTACAGCTTGCTCTCTGGCCTGTGGTACAGTTGCTGTCTTGATCTCCTGCCACTATTGTTCTTGTTCTCCGGCTCATGGACAGTCACCCAGGCAGGACCTCCCCAGAGCTGTGGGGAGGTGGGCTGTCCCCTCTGCAGAGGAACCTTTCCATAGAGTCTCCACGCTACTTTGGTCTTTTATTTTATACCTTGGGCCAGTTACAGCTCCCTGGTTAATTATGCCATCCTCCTGTATTTCACCTCTAGAACTTTATGTCTCAGTGTCATCTTTCTTTGTCCATCCCCCCATCCTTAGTGTACCCCCCTACCCAGGTGGCTGAGTGACCGGTATATGAGCAGTACTAAAGGCCAATTGCTGCTCCGTACCATCTCACATCTCTCCTGTTTGTGTCTCCCCTCCTGTCTGTACAGTTAAACCCAAAGGGGACCCCAGGGCCTGTGTAACGGGCCATACTGTCTCTGCTAGTATCACCAGATGAGGTCCCATCAGCTCTGTTTTATGGTACTTCATTACAGCTTGAGCCTGAATTTCTCTTGTGACTCGAGTTTCTCACTGGAGGAGACCCACCTTGCCAGCTCTTCCCTAGAGCCAGGACTGGACTGGCAAGGGAATACTAGCGCATGTTACTGAAGGTGCCTCAAGGTTTTTGGCAGGCAAAATAGCAAGTGGAATGGATCAGGTTGTTTTGGGAGGGGGAGAGGAGAGGGCTTCTGCCAGTGGACAAGGAGGGGATTTGCTGCTTTCAGCAGCTGAGGTCTGAAGGTTGGTGGCAGGATTCCTGGCTGCCCACTTCGGTGAACATCTGGGCACTAACACTGTCTCTTACCTTGGCAGACGGCCTTCTCTGACTTCCTCACCGGGAGCTCCAAAGACTTGGCAAAGCATGTCAAGCTGGTTGTGAGTATGCAGGGGTGCTCTGGGCCAGGGAGGGGGCTGAGCTGTGGAGGCGTGAGGAGCGGTCCCTTGGCACGCCGAGTATCTCAGGGTTGGGGAGAGGATGTGTTCCTGGCTTGGAGGACAGTCACTGTAGGGAGCAGAGCGAGGAGACCATTTTCTCCTGGGTGGGTAGGGTGGGCCAGGCCCGCCCTTACAGCAGCCTGAACGCCCCTGTTGTCTCCAGTGTGACGGGACAGACCTGACCTCCAAGATCCAGGACCTGAAGCCCCAATGCCTGGTCTTCCTGAACATCCCCAGGTGAGCCGCCCCAGGACCTGCCCTCATCTGCCGGGCTCCTCACCCCCATGCCACAGATCCCTGCACGGGTTTGATGTGCCTGTCCATGCCATCCCTTCGCAGGTACTGTGCAGGCACCATGCCCTGGGGCAACCCCGGGGAGCACCACGACTTCGAGCCTCAGCGCCATGATGACGGCTGCATTGAAGTTATCGGCTTCACCATGACATCCTTGGTGAGTCGGCGCTGTCGTAAATTGCAGCTAGCAACCAGGGGAGCAACTGGTCCCATTGACCAGGTGTCAGTCAGCCCACCAGATCCACAGATTCTCTCCCATGGAGTTGTGATGCTGGCCAGTGTGACAGTGTCTGCTCTGAGATTTAGGCAAGGTGCTGTCATGCCCTGGTCTTTGTGGATCCCATCCCACTGAGATCAGGCCTCAGACCCTCACAACTTGGTTTACTTGCAGCATCTGGCTGACAGTGGGTGCTCCCTCATCCACCCCTCAGTCTGTGCTCTGCTCTCACTCTGGACCCTTTCACAGGCTGCCTTGCAGGTTGGTGGCCACGGGGAGCGGCTGTGCCAGTGCAGGCAGGTGGTTCTCACCACATCCAAGGCCATCCCCATGCAGGTAGATGGAGAACCCTGCAAGCTGGCAGCCTCCTGCATCCACATCTCGCTGCGCAACCAAGCCAACATGGTGCAGAAGACCAAGCGGCGCAACTCCATGCCTCTGCTCAATGAGTAGGTTCTTCAGATCAATCTGTCACCTCCTCCCCAAGGCAGGAGGGCTGGAGGGGGAAGGGACAGGACTGATCCATCACTCCCAGAGGCATTTTGATCCTTTCTTAAGGACAGCCTGGGAAGGGATCAGGTCACAGAAGTATGACCAGATCCTGATGCTGGAGAAACTGCTGGTGCCAAGCTCCCCACCCCAGTCTTTGCACAGGACTGTGCTCTTGCCTGTTTTGGAGGGGTGATTGGGATAAGGAGAAAGCAGACAGTCACTTTCTGATCCTTTTCCTTTTCCCCCCTGCATGCAGCCAGCAGCCAGTGCCCGAGCGGCTGCGGATCCGGGTGAGCCGAATCAGCATGCGCGACTACGAGGCACTGCACTACGACAAGGAAAAGCTCAAGGAAGCCTGTGAGTGACCAGCTGGGTGACCAGGGGGTGGGAGCTGCGGTCCCCGAGTCTGGCAGTGCCCTCAGCTGAGCTGTGCGAGGTGTTGGGGATGGGGCATGGGCTGCTCCCTGAGTTGTGTCTGTGTCCTGTCGTGCAGCTGTGCCACTGGGAATCATCGTGGTTCCCGGAGACAGCGACCTGGAGTTGTGCCGGACCCAAATCGAGAGGCTGCAGGAGGTGAGTCTCTGCGTGGGAAGTGGTCACGGCTGGATGCCGAGGATGGAGGGGCTCGGGGAAGGGATTTCTAAGCCTCCTTGACCTACACGCACAAACACACACGCTCCTGCTTCTGGTCACTGTTTGCCTTCACCACGTGGTGGAGGCAGGATCCCAAGCTGGATGGCTTGTTGCTCCCTGCTCACTGGCAGCTTCTTTTTCAGCGTTGCTCTTCTGACCTTGTTCTCCAGTCCCAGAGTGTCAGTCGCCCAAAAAAATCATGGGGCAGTGGAAAAAGCCAGCAAAGATCCCCTGGGGGCCTATTACCCCCTGCGTGTTTGGGGAGGCCTTTCCTCTGTCCCTTTGTTTGCTGTGCTGCGTTCCTTCAGCCCTCTGCGGGCTTCATGTTTCCTGGCGCAGCTTTGTTCCCTGCGAGGTGCCTGGAATAGGGTTGTCCCCTCTCCAACTCTTTTCATTTGCAAGTACTAACTTTTGTGCTCCTGCCAACGTGCTAGTGCGTGTCCGTGACCCGGACACAGGCTGTATAACCCTTGCTTCTGGTGAGCAATGCCTTCTGAGCCCGCAGCGTGCCTCCTGGTGCCGCACTGCTCAGTCTGATTTTTCTCCCAGAAGGTTGAAGGGAACCTTGCTCAGTCTCCAGTTACCTGGCCCTTGTGCCTGAGGGAATTCCATCCAGTGTGTGCGTAGTGTCCTGCAGGGCTGAGGTGCAGAGCTGCTTGCCCGGGCTGGCACAGTGGCATCTGCTCCTTGCTCTGCCTGCTCTGCATGGCTGTCCCCTGCCCGCCTTGTGCCCAGGCACTGGTGGGGACACGCAGGCAGGCACATGCTCCCAGGCTCAGAGGGTAACCCTTTCCTATGGCATCAGCCTGGTTGATGCCCCTGCAACCTCCTGCACTTCTAAAGCTGTGCATTAAGGCTGGTGTTCCTCAGTCACCTCATGGTTTACCTCTTCTCTGTTTTTGGCCAACCACTGTGCTCTGGCCTCAAAGCAGAGCAGGGACCAGGGACTTTGGCCAGGCAGCATGTAAAGCCAAATATGGCAGCGCATTAAACAGCACTGGTGGGATGAGAGAGGGGCTGGGGGCCCACCCAGACAGAGGCTGTAATGGCACACCTTGCTTTTCTGCAGGATTTCCCTCCACAGCCCTCTGATTTAGAGCGCCTGCTCTTTCAGGTGTGTATGCCCTTGCTCCATCCCCCGGGCCCATCAGTCATGTCTACCATGCCAGTCTTGTGGGCTCATCTGGTGGCACCTCTCCCCAGTGAGCTGGTGTGTGTCGGCTCCAGTCTAGCCCGTGCTGCTTCCTGTCACTGTGTGCTGTGCCTGTGTTCAAGTTCTCTCCGTCCAAGTGCCTGTGGTCCTCCATGTCTGCCGGGACCTCCCAAAGCAGGAGGGATGCTCTGGGGAGGGATGGGGAGGCCAAGAGGCATGACTTTATCCTCTCTTTTTTATGCAGGAGGGAGATGGAGTCAAACCAAAGACACTGTCATCCCAGAAGCTGTCGCCCAAGTGGTGCTTCCTGGACTGTGAGTATCGTCCTCCCCTGAGAGTGCTGACTGTGTCTGACAGTGTGCTAGCAAGGTCCTTCGGTCTGCCATCTCAGTGGAGGTAGAGGATGGAGATCCATGTGACAGCACAGAAGCAAGGGTTATTGTGTTAGAAACCACAGAAGCACCTGAGAATTGTCACATAGGAATTGAGGTTTCTTCCCCCAGATAGCTGGTGGGATCAGTAGCCCAAATGAAGCACCTCTACACCAGTGAACGCAGCATGGGCAACAAACAGGAGGAGCTGGAAACCACTGTACAGCAGGAGAACTATGACATGGTTGCCATCACGGAAACACGGTGGGATGATTCGCAGGACTGCAGTGCTGCAGTGGGTGGCTATAAACTGTTCAGAAGGGATAGTCAAGGAAGAGAGGGATGGTGGGGTAGCTCTGTATGTTATGGAGTGTTTTGACCATCTGGGGCTTAATGATGGTGACAGTAGGGTTGAATGTTTATGGATAAGAATCCAGAAGAAGGGCAACAAGGCAGATATCATGGTGGGAGTCTGTTACAGACCACCCAACCAGGATGAAGAGGCAGATGAAATATTCCATAAGCAGCTGGAATAAGTCTCAGAATCGCTAGCTCTTGTTCTTGTTGGGGACTTCCACTCATCCGATGTCTGCTGAAAATACAGTACAGCAGAGAGGAAACAGTCCAGGAGGTTCCGGGAGTGTGTGGAAAAGAACTTCTTGACCCAGCTGGGGAGGGAGCCAACTAGGGAAGGCAGCTCGCTGGACCTGTCCTTTGTGAACAGAGAGGGACTTGTGGGTGATGTGATGGTTGGAGGCCATCTTGGGCATAGTGATCACGAAATGATGGAGTTTTTGATTCTTGGAGAAATAAAGAGGGGAATCAGCAGAACGGCTACCTGGGACTTCCAGAGGGCAGAATTTAGCCTGTTTAGGAGCCTGGTTGACAGAGTCCCCTGGGAGGCAGTCCTGAAGGGCAAAGGAGTCCAGGAAGGCTGGACGTTCTTCAAGAAGGAAATCTTGAAGGCGCAAGAGCAGGCCATCCCCATGTGCCGAAAGATGAGCTGGCAGGGAAGAAGACCAGCCTGTCTGAACAGAGAGCTTTGGCTGGAACTCAGGAAAAAAAGAAGAGATTATGACCTTTGGAAGAAGGGTCAGGCAACTTGGGAGAGCTACAAGGATGTCATGAGTTTATGCAGGGAGAAAATTAGAAGGGCCAAAGGCTAACTAGAACTTAATCTGGCTAATGCTGTAAAAGGCAGTTAAAAATGTTTCTATAAATACATTAGCAACAAAAGGAGGGTTAAGGAGAATCCCCATCCTTTATTGAATGCAGGGAGAAGCATAGTGACAAAGGACGAGGAAAAGGCTGAGGTACTTAACGTCTTCTTTGCCTCAGTCTTTAATAATAAGACCAGTTGTTCTTTGGGTACCCAGCCCTCTGAGGTGAAAGACAGGGATGGGGAGCAGAACGAAGCCCCCATAATCCAGGGGGAAATGGTTAGTGACCTGCTACTCTACTTAAACACAGACAAGTCTATGGGTCCAGATGGGATCCATCCACGGGTTCTGAGAGAGCTGGTGGAGGTGCTCACCAAGCCACTTTCAATCATTTATCAGCAGTCCTGGCTAACCAGGGAGGTCCCAGTTGACTGGAAGTTAGCAAATGTGACACCCATCTACACAAAGGGCCAGAAGGAGGATCCAGGATACTACAGGCCTGTCAGCCTGACCTTGGTGCTGGGGAAGGTTACGGAGCAGATCATCACATGCCACGTGCAGGACAACCAAGTGATCAGGCCCAGTCAGCACGGGTTTATGAAAGGCAGGTCCTGCTTGATTAACCTGATCTCCCTCTATGGCAAGGTTGACCCTCTTAGTGGATGAGGGGTCTGGGGCTCAAGATGTGTTGTGGCTGTGGATGCTGCCTACCTAGACTTTAGTAAAGCCTATGACACCATTTCCCACAGCATTTTCCTGGAGAAACTGGCTGCTCATGGCTTAGACGGGTGTACTCTTTGCTGGGTAAAAAACTGGCTGGCTGGCCGGGCCCAAAGTCTTGTGGTGAGTGGAGTTAAATCCAGCTGGCGGCTGATCACAAGTGGTTTTCCCCAGGACTCAGTATCGGGGCCAGTTCTGTTTAAGATCTTTATCAGCGATCTGGATGAGAGGATCGAGTGCACCCTCAGTAAGTCTGCAGGTGACACCAAGCTGGGCAGGCGTGTTGATCTGCTCGAGGGTGGGAAGGCTCTACAGAGGGATCTGGGCAGGCTGGAGCGATGGGCCGAGGCCAACTGCATGAGGTTCAACAAGGCTCAGTGCCGGGTCCTGCGCTTGGGTCACAACGACCCCACACAACACCACAGGCTGGGGGCAGAGCGGCTGGAAAGCTGCCCGGCGGAAAAGGACCGGGGGGTGTTGGCCAACAGCCGGCTGAATGTGAGCCAGCCGTGTGCCCAGGTGGCCAAGAAGGCCGGTGACATCCTGGCTTGTATCAGAAATAGTGTGGCCAGCAGGACCAGGGAAGTGGTCATCCCCTGTACTCGGCACTGGTGAGGCTGCACCTCAAATACTGGGTTCAGTTTTGGGCCCTGCACTGTGAGAAAGACGTTGAGGCACTGGAGTGCGTCCAGAGAAGAGCAACGAAGCTGGTGACGGGTCTGGAGCACAAGTCTTGTGAGGAGCAGCTGTGGGAACTGGGGTGGTTTAGCCTGGAGAAAAGGAGGCTTCAGGGGAAACCTTGTCACTCTCTGCAACTACCCAAAAGGAGGGTATAGCGAGGTGGGGGTTGGTCTCTTCTCCCAAGTAACAAGCGACAGGACAAGAGCAAATGGCCTCAAGTTGTGCCAGGGGAGGCTTAGATTGGATATTAGGAAAAATTTCTTCACCAAAAGGGCTGTCCAGTGTTGGACCAGGCTGCCCAGGGGAGTGGTTGAGTCACCACCCCTGGAGGTACTTGACAGATGTGTAGATGTGGCACTTAAGGACATGGTTTAGTTGTGGACTTGGCAGCGTTAGGTTAACAGCTGGACTCGATCTCAAAGGTCTTTTCTAACCTGAGCGATCCTATGGTTCTGTGAAGTTGGGGGCTGGGGGGACAGACCCTTAGTGACAAGCCACTGAGAGCCACATGAGACCAGATGCTGGGGTCTTTGCAGCCGAGTACAGCAGTGCTTTGCCCCGGGCTGTGCCTCTGAGTGGAGCGAGGGGTGTCTGCTGCTCTCCAGCCCCCAGAGCTGAAGGCAGCTTGGCAGCCTGCATCCCATCACGGCAGGACAGCTGGGGATGCTCTCCTGCGTCACGCAGGCAGGGGACCCCCCTGCTCCAGCCCGCTGGGAGCCAGGCTCACCCTGAGCATCCCAGTGGTATGGGGAGCAGGCTCCCCACTGGGATGCTTCTTCACCCCTGCCTGAAAGTAGATTTCTCCTTTGCTGACCGAGAGCTCTCCTCCTGTACCTGGAAGGGTAATGACTGCCGGGGGCACTTCATCTCCCTGACTCCCCGGTAGCAGGGCGTAGAGCACAGCCGTGGGTTGCGAAGTGGGCCTGGGAAACCTCGTGCTAGGCAGAGGGGATGCAACTTCTCCCTTGGGGGTTCCAGCCCGGCACATGGGGCTGCCAGTGCTGCTGCTCTCAGGTGTCACTGCCAGGGCTGCTGTACCCGCACTGCTTTCCCTCCTCCTGCCAGTCTCCCAGCAGCAGGTGCTGGGCTCAGGAAAATGTGTCGGGGAAAAACGCCAGAGCCTCATTCAAGGCAGCGCAGGCTCATTCAAGCGGCTGTATCGCAGGCCTTCAGCGGCAGCTCCCTGGCTGTAAATCTCCAGCCAGGACAGGATAAATGTGGCTCTTTCACACCTCTCATCTACTTCTGCTTGTCCCCGCTCTGTTTGCAGAGGGAATCCTCCGGGTCCTCAAGGGTCCCACCTCAGCAACCTCGCCTGGGCAGGCACCAGCAGCCTGGTGGGACATGGGGGAAATGCCACCCTGCGTGGGAACCCGATCGTCCTGGCACTGTGCTCTTACTTGCCTTATTCTCCCTCAGTGATGCCGAAAGCCCGCAGCTCCTCCCTGCTCCCCTGGCTGCGCGGGTCTGACTCCAGCACAGTCACTTGCTCCGTTGGTGTCGGAGCTCCTTTCCTGCTGTGGGGATCTCTCCTCTAAGGAAGAGGGACGAGCAGAGGGATGCGCTCAGACAGGCTAGAGGCTGGTTTGGAGCTCGCCTGCCATCCTAGGAGACAGGGGCTTGGATCTACAGCTGGTGGCAGCATGCTCTGTTGTGCCTGGCAGTCACAAGCTCTGATGTGACCCCGTGGTGGTCCGTGGGACATTAGTCAAGTCAGAGGGAAGCTGAGCTCCCTCTTCTCCCAGCCCCGCTTAGTGCCCCCATTTCTCAGCGCAGTGCAACAAGGTGCACCATGTTAAATCGGAGCGGTTCCTCACCTGGTGCGAGTGAACGCTGAGACATGCACTGCACAGCCCTGAGCCTCGTCTGCTCGGGCTAATGCTAAAGCACCCGAGAGCCCCCAGAAAGGCCACAGCATTATCTAGGCATGTTCTTGCCTGTCCTGTGGCTCCCTGCCAGGGGTCATTGAGGAGGAGATAGCAAGCAAAGGCATGTTGCACCAGGGCATGGTGGTCTGTAGGCCCCAAGGGCTGCCTCTCGGGTAAAGGGAGCAGCAGGGCCCTGAGGGGAAGGGGGCTGCTGCTGGTCAGGAGGTGACGTTCGCTTTGCTGTGCTCTCTGTGCAAGCCATGAAGTGACTGGGTAGTTCACTGTCACTCAGTGGTGGAAAACACCCGTCTCCCCCGTCTCACACAAAGAATCACCCTGTCTCGCTCTGTCCCTGTCTTACAGCAACCACGGCTGATCGGTTCTACAGGATAGACCGTGCACAGGTGAGTGCAGCCTCATCCTTTGTCATCTTCCCCCCTGGCAGCTGTGTTCAGTTTTGGGCCCCTCACCACAAGAAAGACATGGAGGTACTGGAGCATGTCCAGAGCCTTGCCCAAGACCAGCCCCAGCACCTCCAGGTTCCTGTGGAAAAGGGAGGAAGCGTGGGTGGGAGCACAGGGACCTGGGTTGGAAGCTGCCTGCAGGACCCTACAGCAGAGCGCGTAAGGAATAGCAGTGTGGCAAGGCTGGCCAGGAGACCCACTTACTGGGTTCATCTTAACCAATATTAAATACTTTGCCTAATGATCTGGAGAGGAAGACATAGAGATGAGGTGTATGGGTCATCTGGTAAGTTGGTAGGAGATGGGAAACCTGAAAAGGACAAGGAAATGCAACCGCTTCCCAGGCACAGGTCCCAGGACTCTACGAGCCACCACCACTCTGCTGAGCGAGTGGGTGGGCTACAAGGCATGGGACGTGAGGGGATGGAGATATGGAGAAGTAGGTCTTGCTTCTGAGGAGGACTGGCTTGTGTCTTTTAGGAGCACCTCAACTATGTGACAGAGATCTCTCAGGATGAGCTCTATGTGCTGGACCCGGAGCTAGTGATCACCCAGACTGTGGGCACCTCTCCTGCCATGCCTGACCTTGTCGACTTGTCTGCCGCACCCACTGGGCACCATTTTGCATTTCCCTCCTCTTCTTCCTCTCCACCCTCCTCTCCTGCCCCAAGGTGAGTCTGGAATGGGGGTGCCGGACCTCAGGAAGGATGGACAGTGATGGAAGAGACAGGATTGGCTTCACAGCGTTGACACCTGGGCCAAATTACAGGGGGGCTCCCTGGAAGTGAGCAGAAAGTCAGTGCTGCGTTAGACCAAGGGGTGAGATGCCATCCAGTCTTCCCTGCGGGAAGCTGTGGGGCATCACCGGGTGGCTCAGCCATGGGGTCAAGCTCCAGCACCTGGACTGTGGCGCAAAGGGCATGGGTGCCTTTCGGCCTAGCTGAGGCCAGACTTGGGTACGGGTGAGCAACGGAGCTGGGAGCAGCAGTAGAAATGGGAGCGGGGATGGGGAAGAACCCAGACTGGGGAAGCAGCAGAAGGCATGGCCAAAGAGCAGCAAAGTCCCTTGGCCTGCCTCTCCTCCTGCATGCTGGAGGAGTGCCGTGGGCAGGCTTCTCCACAACCATCCCTCTACCCTTGTCCCCTTTTGGATGATCTACTGCCAGGACTGGTGGGGTTAGTTACACCTTTTCTTCTCCCCTTCCAGTGCTGAGCCTGAGCACTGCCTTCTGCACCAAGGTGAGTCCCGTCCCACTCTCTGTCGCACCCCCCGTCTCAGGTCGCGCTGTTTTGGGTCCCCAACACGTGGTTTTTGGCCTGTCCTTTCCCCAGTTGTGCCAGGCAGGAGCGTGGAGCCCTGCGGGTGGGTGACCCCAGAGGTGGGCAGGAGGGACCTGACAGTGATTTGTGGAGTGGCCCCGCCAGGCGCCTTCCCGGCTCTGTGGTGCGGGAAATGACGTGGCGAGGGGTTAATCCCCTACCTGCGGAGCTGATCGGGCTGGGTTTGGGGGGGCTGTCTCTGCCAGAGGGCTGGCTGGAGCTGGGGAATGGAGGTGGGAACACAAGGTCAGGGGCCTCACCAAGCTGAGCAAATGGAAAGAGTTTCCTGGAGCTTGAGCGGAGCCCTGTGCCTGGAAGCGTGAGTGAGTCACGGGTGAGAGGCGTCTCTGGCCGCTGACTGACACCCAGGAGATCTGCTCCCCGCTTCCATCACGTCACCCTGCCCGTGGGCAGAGACTGCTCCCCCCTGCACATGCACCTCCCTGGGGCTGAGGTCCGTGGTGTCTCCTTCCTTCCCCTGCCTTGTCCCTTACATGCCTGCAGGCAGAGGAGCTGTGTAAAACCAGTCTGACCGAGGGGTTAGCACCTGGAGGAGCTCCTGCTGTACCCTCGGCTGACTGGCCCGTGCCTCCAGTGCCCAACCCTTGGCTCCGGCATGAGATAAACAGCATGACAGCTTGACTTTCCTGACCCTGACCCATCTCCCTTCTTTGCAGACGACCTTCTGATAGAAGCTGCCAAGAGTGGCAACTTCAGCAAGGTAGGTGCTCTCACTGCCTGCTGCGATGGGCAGCCGGGGCTGGCTCTGGGCAGTTTCCCCCGTAATCTGCTCAGCTGATGTGCCCCTCGAGCTATGGGAAGCCCTGCCAGCCTTATTCTGCGAATGCCCTGGAGCAGCTCCTGTGGAGGGCCTTCCTCCAGGAGTGGTGGCTGGAAACCAGGCAGGCTTCTGGCAAGAAGCCCTGTTCCTCTCCTGGAGGACACAGAGGGAGGGGACTTGGTGGCCGTGGCTGAGCTGGACAAAGCTCCCTGCCAGGCCCCGAATATCCACACAACCTTCTGGGCACCCTGGGGACGTGACGCTGGGGCTTGAGGCTCAGAACTGGGAAAGGCAACTTATCCCAAGCAATCCTGTAGTTCCAAGAGCTGCACCGGGCTGGAAGAGACCTGATGGTGCGAGACTCCTCAGGCCAGACCGTCCTCCACCATGCCGTCAAATCAGGGAGCAAGGACATCGTCAAATACATCATCGACAACGGTGAGCTGGGGCCAGAGTGCCACCCTTAGCAAAGAAGCCTGACAGCCGAAAAAGCCCAATGCTGTGCTCAGGAGGGGTGCTCCTGGGCTTAGATCCCTTCCCTCTGGGTTTTCTACACCCTCTCGCTGGCATATGGGCTTTCCCTGGCATCTGCCCGCCGGTGCTGGGGTGCCCCCAGGGCTGTTGCTGCATCCTGGCAGGGACCAGCGTGTCTCTGGGAAACATTTCTCAGTGTCCTGCTTTAGGGCAGCTGACCTGTTGTTTTTGGCAGCTCCCACTGAAATACAGGCCGCTTTATTTTTATTTAGATGTTTCTCTGTAATGAGTCCACAACAACTGTTCTTCCCCGGGCTCAGATGCTGTTGCTGGCCTGAGTGCTTTGGAGCCAGGACCTTTGCGGGCAGCGTGGAAATAGCAGCCCCTGTGGAAAGATGCAGAGTGCAACTGGGGAGTAGGTGGGTCTGTCTCTGCCCCACAGCCGGGTTTCACTTACCCTGCTCTGTCTTTCTCTCCACAGCCCCTTCAGAAATCCTCGATGCCACGGAGGAGGAGAAGTAAGTTGCTGACTGACTTGCGTTACCTGTTGGCCAGGCCCTCTGCGAGGTGACAAGTCATCTGGGCGCTTATCAGCTGCCGTTGCTCTAATTACCAGCCGCGATTCCCAGTCCACGCTGGACTGACCGTCCCCAAGTAGCACCCCCTCCTCTGCCAGGGCTGCCTGGCCGAGCACGCAACCCGCCATCAGCTCCTGCTGCCTCTGAACTGCTGTCCCCCGCTGCCACCCGCATGTGCTGCTTGTCCCCGTTCAGGGCGGGGACATCTCACATCTCCCGCTTTCTCCTCCCCAGCGGCGAAACCAGCTTGCACCAGGCTGCAGCCTTACGCCAGCGCACTATCTGCCACTACATCGTGGAGGCCGGGGCTTCGCTCATGAAGACGGACCTGCAGGTGATGGCGGGAGGGCTAGCAGTGGGGCTTTCGGGGGGGCCTGGGGGGCTGGCAGGATAGCAGAGCGAGTGTGCTTTGGCTGGGGTCGTTGCCAGCCAGAGAGGAGCTGACGTGAAGCACCCATGCCCGCCCAGCAGAGCCCAGCTGCAGAGGGGTTAAATCCCTCCCCTCCCCGCGCTTCTCTCCCTGTTGTTTTATTAAATTAGAAGCGAGGGGCTGGAATGTCTCATCCCTGTCTCCCCCTTCCCACCCTCCGGGGTCAGAGCAAGGACATTCTCGCTGTGAGCTCCCTCCCAGCTGCAGGGCTCCCCCCCGCTCTCCCCCCCGGGCGGCCATGATGGGGGTGCTGGGAGCTTCTCTCACAGGGAGCGGGAGCGAGCCGCGGCAGCCCTTTCCCTCACATGCTGAATTAATTGGGACGTGCCGGGGAGTTGTGCCAGCCCTGGCAGAGCAGTTGTGGGAAGGGGGCTCGAGGCTGTGTTTTGGTACGGGGGCTGGCATGCGGCCGAGGGGGGACGCGGTCACTTCTGTCAGGCGGAGGCTCGTAGCGATGGGCTGTAGCAGAGAGGTAGGACAAGCCAAGAAGGGGCAATCTGTGGGTCTGGGGCACAGGGTAGGAGCCCAGCCGAGGGGGGCAAATTTGCTGGGGCCGGTGAAGCGTGGGGGCCGCCTCAGGCAATGTGCAGCCCCGTTACCTCTGCCAGGGTGATGCTGTACAGACAATCTCTGGCTTCCCCATCGCTCCTCCTTGGTCCTGGCTGAGGCTTGGGCCTTGCACAGCACCCAGAACGGGGCTGGCTTGGCTGGAAACTCAGCAGGGGGAGAGGGCAGCTCTAGGGGCATGGCCTCTCTCTGCCCCCAGACACCCCCCCCCCACACGCCTTCATCTGCTTGAAGGAGGGGAGCAGCCTCCAACCTGCCAGCACAAAAGGCAGCCCCGCTCAGGCATGCCGGCTGCCCCGGGGAAACGGGGCTTGCATGTGCCTGCGCAAACGCGTGTTTGGGTTCGTAGCTGTCTGGGGACCCCTCCGCGCCGACCTGGCGTGGGTGGGCTGCGGGTCGCGGGTCTGACGCTGGGTTTGGGTTCCCGTCTGGGTTTGGAGCGGGTCGATCATCCCACACCCTGCAGCGGTGAGGGAGGCCGAGCCTTATCGGCTGGCGTGCCTCAGCCCGGCCGGGCAGAGGGGCCCTGGCAGCTCTGGTTTCAGGCTGCGGGCAGGCAGCCTTGCAGCAGGGCTTCTGGAGGGGGGACGGGAAAGAAACTCAATTCCTCCTCTGGTTTTTTCCCCCCCCTCCCCACTTTGTTAAATGAGCACTTGCATAAAGGAGGCCCCCGAGGAGAGCCGGCACCGAAGCACAGAGGGGTCTCCATCCCCCTGCCTCTGTGCATGCTGAGGGATGCGTGTGGGACCGCAGAACGTGCCCAGTCTCGGGGTGCGCCTGTGAAAGAGGGGGGGGGGTTCTTGGTGCTCCGCACCTCTCCGTGGCCGCGCATGAGCGGGCTTTTGTCTGCAGCCCTATCCAGGCCCGGCGGAGGCTCTGCATGTCCGACCATTGTTCCTGCTGGAGAAATATGGCTGTGGGTTGTCCTGGAGGCCCCGGTACCCCGCCGCAGCCGCCCGTGCCCCGCTGTGCATCGGGGGACAGGCCGCGCATCCCTTCCGGGGCCGGTTTTCAATGGCAGCGGCAGAGCGCCAGGTTTCCGTGGCCTTTCTCAGCGGCACGGCAGAGCCCGGGCGCTTGGCGAGGAGGAGCAGGGGGAGGGAAGGGGGAGAGGAGATGGAGCTGGGAGCTGTTAACAGATTTGCTTTTTATGGAGTGCGGGAGTTCATTAGTGGACACAGTCCAGATGGCTGCAATAAGCTGGTGAAATGTGATCCTCCTCCGGGAGCAGGAGCGCTAGCCGGGCTGCGAGAGGGAAGGGGGGTTGGTATTCCTGGGCATTCCCCAGACATACCCCTCATTCCTCACCCTCTCCCGCCCTCCTCCCCAGCACCGAGGAAGAGCAGGTCATGGGGACCGACCTTTGTCTCCTCTCAGGGGGCTGGTGATGGTCAGGGCCGGTCACTGTCCTGGCCTGTGCGTGGGGCTGATGGCCCTTCGGGGGACAGCTTCCAGCCCTGCAGCAAAGTCGGGCTCCTCAGGAGCATGATTTCCCTCCGTGGCAAGCACGTGGGCTTTCAGCTAGCGCCCACCTCAGGGCTTGGCTGCAGCCACCTTTTCGGTGGGTGAGTGGGGGCACCTTTGGGTGCCGCTGCAGCGTTTAGGCAGTACTGGGTGCTCTGACATCTTTTGCCTCCCCCCCCCCCCCCGTGCAGGGAGACACCCCCAAGCACCGGGCTGAGAAAGCCAACGACCCCGACTTAGCTGCCTACCTCGAGAACCGACAGCACTACCAGATGATCCAGCGGGAGGACCAGGAGACAGCTGTGTAGTGCTCGGCGTGCCTTAGCCCAAGCCAGCTCGGGCAGGACGAGAAGAGGACGATGCCAGCTGGCAGAGCTGTGAGTCTGGCCCTGCTCTCCCAAGATCTCAACCTGGTCCCCGGAGGAGATGGAGACAGCAGAGCTCTGCCCCAAGCTGGGCTGGGACTCTTTATGAGGACAGTGGGTATTTGGGACTTGAAGCCTGGCTCTTTGTGTGTGTCCCCCTTCACCCTTCATCCAACACATTCCCTGCTCTGGATGGGCTCCATCCCGCAGCCCTGTTGGGGCAGGCCAGGCTGAAGCCTCCGATCACCCTTGTGCAGGCTCCTACCTATGATCCTTGTGGGATATCATTGCTCACCCTCTCTCCCTGCCGGCAGTGCCCCTCCCTTAGAAGCTTGGGTAAGTTCATGTCCTGTTCCTCCTCTCCTGTCCGGTACAGCCGCGGGAGGTGCAGGCTGTGTGGGCAAACAGCAGAAGCCGTGAGCCTCAGACTTTGCTCCAAGGGAAGCGCCATGACTTACTGCCCCTGCCTCCTCCTCCCTCCTGTATTTTGGGGCTGCCCCGGGTCTCTGTGTTGCCCCACCAGGACCTTCTGCGGCAGGGGGGAAGTCCCCAGCCATCCCTCAGCTGCGCCAGTCCCAGATGCTCTGGAAGCAGGGCAGCCCCCGGCCTCCCGGTTGCCTTTAGAGCCCAAGCCAGTCTGGCCCAGGGCAGAGATGGCATGGAGGAAGGCTACCGAGTCTTCCCACCATCTTTCCCTCCACAGGGCTGGATGGGGCAGGCAGAGCACCCAGTGTCTGATGGGCATCTCTCTGTGAGCCTGCTGCAGCACCTAGCCATGGGAGAGCTGCGCTTGGCCTGAGCAGTGGCTGTGGTGGAGCCCGTTAAATTTCCCAAATGCTGACTTTGATCCGGCTGCCCTCCCTGCTTCAGCTCCCCTCCTTGATGCTGGAGATTGCACTGGGCTGGAGGGGCAGTGCTGGGGTCAGTGCTGCTCTCAGGGATTCCCCCCACGCTCCCCAACCTGTCAACACACATCCTCTGAGTCCCGACTCCTGCCATCCTCCCAAACTGGGCACAGGGCTTTGCAGGGAAAATTTGGGAGCTCGCCCAGCCCAGACACAAGCTCCCTGGGCAGACCACCAGCTCACCCTCTCTAGTTTTAGCAGAAGGAGGGATTTGGATGCCAAAGAGGCATCAGGGCTCCCAGCCCTGAGTCACACCTGCAATGGGATGGCATTTCACACAACCTGCCATGGGGCACGAGGCACCAGGACCCATCTCCCCTGCGGACGCTGTGGGTGCTGCGCGTGAGGCTTTTGCAGAACTGACAGTCTCTGGGGCCGGGAGGTGCCAGCAGAGGAGGAGAGCTGGTGGCTCTGGATCCTGCTTTGGCACCTGCAGGTGGGTGGGTGGTAGTTGCGAAGTGGGGTGCCGCTCGCGGCTTTGGGTCCCAGGAGAGGAGGATGATGCTGCTGTGTAGGGTCTGTGTGGTCCCAGCCGCGCTCACAGCCAGCTGCGCCCACCAGGTAGTGCTGGGTGCCACCACTGGAATCCCTCCTAATACCAATACCAAAAAACCAGTATGAGGATACCGCAGAGAACCAGAATATCCTTCAGGCTTTTTGGCCGGAGGGTGGAGTTCCCTTGGAGGATGAGGAATGCTGTGGTGGGGAGCAGAGGCGCAGGGCAAGGCAGAGTGTCAGGGGCCAGCGGCAGTATTGACAATTAATAACAAGAGCACGCCAGTGTGTTGAGAGCTGGGATGCTCCGGCAGCGCCCGGGGTCCCCATCAGCACTGCTCTCAGGCCACCGACAGACAAGGCACTGTCACCTTCTCAGAGGTCCAAACCGCTGCCCCTCCAGCCGGGATGCCCAGCCCGGCCCGGAGGCGTTTACAGCCCTAGCTTCCCCCCCCCTTTCTCCCTCGTTTTGTATCTTCCCTTATAGTTTTTGTACAGGTAGTTGAGAGACACACTGTCCCCCTCCCTTCCTGGCCCCTCCGTGCGTGCGCGAGCTGAGTTGCTGTGCAATTCCAAGCCTGGCTTGTATTTCAGCGAAGGCGGAGGGGGTGTTGTTCGCCCTGCCCGCGGAGGGCAGGGGTTGTGTGCAATACCTGGGTCTGTGTTTCCTAGACGCTGTCGTAGGACTGTATTTTTGTAACTCTGTGAGGGTGCCGGCTCCAGCAGGCCCAGGGCCTGGCACGAGCCTGCGTTCCCGTCGCTTTTCGACTTGGACCGTTTGGATGTTGTTGTTTCTTGCCATTAAAATAAAGAGATGGATGTTTTAGTTCCTGTACCCCACTGCATCTGCACGAATGCTGTGAGCGCTCCAAGCGGGGTTGTACCTCAAGGCTTCTGCCCCCATCCTAACTGGGGGTACCCTTAGGGGAGTTCCCTGCTGGGCCAGGTTTTTGCCCGCTTCCCTGCACGGCATCGCTCTGGGACAGTTGTTGGCCACCAGCTCTTCGTCCTGAGGGACCTTCTCCCCTGTTCTGTGGCATAAATTGATACTCAGTGTAACATGGAACAGGGAGAAAGCACCCCGCCATCCCAAGTGATCCAGAAGGGCTTGGAAGCTGGTCCTGCCCTGCTCCGGGTCCTCCACGGGGCGGGAGGTGACAGCTAACAGGGGGGTACCACAAACAGCATCCAGCCTCCAGATTTCAAAATGTTTCTGTTGGCTTTTTTTTTTTTTTTTTTTTTTTTGGGTGAGCTGCCCCCAGCCACACTGCTCTGTGGGGGACGAGCTGGCTCGAGGGTTCTTCCCATTCATTCCCAGCTCCAGAGGGGAGCCTTGGGGTCCTGCCTCCGGTGCTGAGCACTGGGGCAGTGGGGTCGAGGGCTGGGATTATCTCTGGCGGGAGGACAGCTCTCCGATTACAAAAGCGGGGGATTAGGGACGCTTCTGCTTCCAGACTCCTGACCGCAGGCACCGCCATCTCCTGCAGAGTTTTCTTTCCAAAAGGGAGGTGATCGCTCCGGCTGACAGCGGGCTGGTGAAGAGAGCCAGGGACGGACACGGTGGGTGACGGGGAGCTACGTTCATACTTTAAACTGGGATTCCTGAGGGCAGCTTGGCAGCCTGCCTGTCGCTCCTGCTGCCCCCTCTCCACCCGGAGAAGCAGCCTCCTTCTCCGGCTGCGTTGTCCCTTCCACCCCCCCCAGACCCCCCGTGCCTCCCTTTCATTGCCTTCAGCCTTTCAGCTCCTGCCCAGAGCTAACAGTGGGGGTCTGTAGCGGGTGTAAGGCACACCAAATTGTCCTGGCCTCCCTGGGCCACGGCCCAGGGACCGGGCGTACGTGCGAGTAGGAGGGGGGGGCCCACTCCGCTTCAGTGCTCAGACCCCGGCGCGTTGGCACTTGGCCCGTGTCTCAGCAGCGAAGGACCGTCAGTAACCATGGCAATGAGAGTTTTCCAGCCGCCCCGGTGTCAAATTTATGGTGGGGGAGAGAAGCGGTCCCAAAATGCGATCGCTACGATGAGGGGTGTTAGGAAAGGGGCGGTGAGCCTTGTCTTTCTCCCCGAAGGGCTTCAGCATCCCCCTCACTTTCGGCTGGCTGTTGGAGGGCTGGAGATCTGTCTGGTCTCCCGTGGGATGGAAACACACCTGGTGGTGTATGAACAGGGCCGGGGGGGGACGTGTGTGGAGGCTGGGGAAGGCTGTGCAAACCCAGCCCCAGCTAAACAGAGCCGGGGTGACAGCAGTTAGCCCTGTGAATGATTACCTGCCCCATGCCTGCCTCTGCAAGTCCTGAATGGGGACAAGTTGCACCCCCCCACAGCTCTGTGTGTGTGTCCCCGTGTCCCTGTAGTAACAGTGCCCAGAGGATCAGGCTTCCACTGGAGATGGAAAACATGGAGCTGACAGGCCACTGAATGGTCTTGTGACGTTTTGAGAGGTAAAATGCTCGACTTAAGCAACTGCAGGGAAACACACCTGGGTTGGTCACGCTCCCTCTCTTCCCTCCTTCCCTCGGTATGAGGCCCCTTTCTGCAAACACAGCCTTCTGCTGCTTGTTTGAGCTGGAGAAGGAGCCGGTCCCTCCGCTGCATCCCTCCAAAAAAGCCCGAAGGCACCAAGCAGGGCCACTGCTGAGGGTGACGTGCACCCACGCACCTCTGCTATCCCACACGGCCAGCACCTCTCTCCTAGTCCCCAGCCCCAGGAGGCGTCAGGAGGGGTCTGGGAACGGCTGGACAAGGAGGGAGGAGTGAAAATTTACACGGGGCTTCACCATACCTTGGGCTGCTCTGCCCTGGGGACCCCAGTGGGATCACTGGCTCCTGGCCAGCGGTGGCTGAAGAAAAACATCGGTGCTTGCCCCACACCCAGCTATTTCACAGCTCCACCAGGCCCTGGTTTGCTCATCACAGCCCCACAACAGCCTCGCAAACCTAATGCCACTGAACCCCAGCTGAAAGCAGCGCACCTAGGCCCTTCCCCTTCTTTTTTGACCCTGGAGCTTGTCTCTGCAGCTTTCTTCAACTTCAGTTTAAAGGCTCAGCGATGGGGGCGATTGAAGGGGGGGGACCACAACTATTGGCTTTGCTACCTGTCCAGCTGTCAGGACCCATTTCTGCACCCTATGCTCAAAGGTACAGCCCAGCGTGCCCGGACCCCTCGCCACCCCAAAGCAGCACCCACTGCTGTGTGTAGGGGGGACATGTTCCCACAGCTGCTGGCCCTCCTCGAAACCTCTGCAGATGTTCAGGAAACCACCGGCAGGGTGTGAGTTAAATGTGGGAATCTCTCGGAAAGCGATTCCTGGTTGTGAAGCAGCTCATAAAAAACAGCCCCCCCCCCCCCCCCTCCACTCCCCAAACCCCACCTGTGGCAGCCCTGCTCTCTGCAGCCTTCTTCCAGGGTAAAGGGTGGAAAAATGGCTCCGTTCACCACCACAGCCCTGTTCTTCTGGCATGACACTCGCCTTTCTAGCTGGTAACTTCAGGAGAGAGTTGGCTTGGCCCCTGCCTCTCCTCACCTCCTAAAAAAAAGGGGTGGATGGAGGGGGGGGGAAAGGAGCAGTCACGTCTACAAGGTCCTTCCATCCCCAACCAGGGATCTGATCTCATATCGCTGCGGGGTCCAAGGAGGAGGGTTGTGGCATGGCTGAGCTGGGGACAGGCGGGTGACGAAGGACGGGGCTGGGGAGGGACACCTGGGCCACCACAAAAGCGATGTGCCGCTTTGGGTGCTGAGCAGGTACCCCCCTCCCTGGCACCCCCTCCCCGGCACCCTCCCACGAGGGGCAGCGCCAGCGGGGAAGGGTAAAAAGGGCAGAGCCCGTGAAAGGTGGGTCCATCAATGCCCAGTGGCCTTGATGGGGAAGGAGGCATCTATGGAGCTGGTGGAAACACCGCGGGGGGGGGGGGGGGGGATTCCCTGCACCCCACCTAGCCCCAGGGGTGCCCCAGGGGCCATCTTCCAGTGGGTCTCAGAGCAGCGGGCCCCAGAGGAGCCCTGCCCTGGGCGATGTTGGGCTGTGTGGGCAGCTGAATCCCCCCACGGCTTCGTTGGTCCCATGCCGCAGAGCCCAGAGAAAGGTGAGACACCCCGGCCAGGGCGGGGGGACACATGAAGACATCGCCCCTCGCTGGGACCTGACCCCTCAGCACATTCACTGGATTCAGCGGGGGGGGGGGGGGGGGGGGGGAGCTTGCCTGCCCCCCGACACCCCCCCCGCCCCCGCCAGCCGGCCTGCCTTTGTGTACCAGGGAGGGTTGGGGGGGGGGGGTGGGGGGGAGCAGAGGAGGAGCTTGCGAAAAGTTTGGGGCTAAAAAACCACCTTTTTTGCTGCCAGCCGAGCCCGACGTCAGGGGCCGCTGTGCGCTGCGCGGGGGCTCCGCACGCGGCCGCGCACACAAAGGCAGCAGCTCCGCACCGCGCACCGCTCCGCGCACCGCTCCGCAGGTGAGTGTGCCCCCCCACCCCCACCCCCCCTAACCCCCGGTACGAGGGGTCGGAACCCCCCCACACACACCCCCGCCAAGCCTCCGCGGACGGCGGTGCCGCCAGCCCGACGCCACGGGGATGGGCGCCTCCGGAGAAACGGGCGGCCGCTGCCCACCCCCCCCCCCCCCCCCAACCACCGCCACCGTCGCCTCCCCGGGGAGACGGCGGTAAATCCAGGCTGAGGGTTCGCCGGCGGGGGGGGGGGGGGGGGGGAAAGGGGCTTTGTCGGGGTGGGGGGGACATGGGGGAGCTGCAGGAAGGGCAGTTGGGGCAGTGGTCTGGGGGGCGGCAGCCCCCCCGGGTGCGGGCTCGCCTGCGAGGAGCCAGGGAAGTGCGGGAGAAAGGAGTTTTGGAGGGAGGCAGGAGCTCCTGGAGAGCAGGCAGGGGTTGAAAGCAGTGGCCCAGGATGTTAGTGTCCCCTCTCCCCTCCTTGGGGGGCACCTCACGCGGGTTCGGGGGGGGGGGGCGGGCTCAGGGGGGTGGGAGACGCTCCGGCCGGCACCCGGGGAGCTGCCCTGCAGCGGGATCAACCTTTCCGGGGGGGGCAAGGGGGGCCGGAGGGGAAGGGGCTGGACAGCATCTGCCCTAGAGCTGGGGGAGCAGAGGATAGAAGCGTGGAAGGGGGCAAAGCTCAGGCTCCCTTCTCCTGGCAGCGGGGCAGTTCCTGCTGGCGGGGGTGCTGGGTACCCCAAACCATGGGCTCCCCGAGCTCTGGGCTCCCTGGCCCGGGGACTGGGGGACAGCTCAGCCGGCGGAGGGGGGGCGGCAGTCCTGCGCCCACCTCTGCCAGAGCCAGCTGCAATTTGAGCCGAGCCGAGAGGTCCCGCTGGTGGAAGAGGGGCTGCGAGGGGGCTGACAGCCCAGCCCGCTCCCGGGGGTGGCAGCGAGGGGACCAGGAGCTGGGGAGGGTGGGGTGGCCAGCCCTAGGAGAAGCACTTGCCAGTGGCACTGCCTGGCCCTTGAGCGGTGTCCGGGGAGGGCTCCAGGCTCTCCCATTGGTGGTGTTTGGGCTCTGCTTCAGCATCACCAGGCAATTTATTATTCTTTAGAGAGAGAGAGAGCGAGCTGCTCCTCAGTTATTCAAACCCGGGGTAGCTAGAGAAGTGAGGGGAAGGGGAAACAGGGACTGCCATGGTGTGGCCAAGCTCCAGGCTGCTCCCCCTGTGCAGCCCGTTCCTGGGAGAGACCAACACAGTGCGAGAGCCAACCAAGATGGGAGCAGGAGAGGAGCCAGGGCCCTGCAGGGATGCGGGAGGAGCTGGGCTGTGCAAACACACCTGAAGGTGCTGGCAGCCCAACCAGGAAAAGCTCGTGTTTGACCAGCAAAGAAGGGATCAGGCTGTTTGGAAAACCAGTTGGAAAACTGCACTCCCTTTCCCTTATGAATGCTTTAGGATGAGCCATGGCAGAGGGTCCCTGCAGAACTTGGCCTTGGGGTTGTGATGTGCAGGGCAGAGCCTGGGAGCAGATGCAGGAGTCTCCGGGGCTGTAGCTGGGCTGCCCCTTGGAGCCCCCCCCTCGCTCCCCGCATCCCTGCATACACATGGGCAGGGCCCCACGGTACCCACTCCGTGGGGAGCAGGGGGTGTCCATGCCCCGAGGCGAGGCAGGGGTGAGGACGGCAGTTGGGGTCTGCCCTGGGTGCTCAGAGGCCACGTCTGCAGGACCAGAGCTGGAAGGCGGGTGCAGGAGCACGGGGAAACACTCTGCAGCAAAGGATGGAAGAAGTTTACAGAGCACCTGAAATTAGAGGGGGTGCTGTGAATAGTGTGGGTGTCAGAGGCCGCTGCCCCATCCGAGCGGGACCGGAGTGCCCGTAACTCAGCTCAGCCCCAGCCTTGTCGTCTGTAACAAGCCCATCCAGGCTGAGCTCTTTCCCACTTTGAAGGCAACTGGGTGGGAAGAGGGCTGAGCCCTGGCGTGCTTGGCAGGATGGCTCCCAGCCGAGCTGGGTGAGGGGGAAGGCAGCTCTCACCCCCTCGGCTGCGCCTTCAGCCAGCCGGGCTGTGTAATTCCCTCTGACAGTTCAATGCAGAGCGAAGCCGGCAGCTTCGCGGCGGCGGACGCATGAAAGGTGAGTGCACTGGAGCCTGAATAATGCGGGGAGCTGCTCTTTCCAGCACGCTGCCCGGGGAGCCTGGGGGCAGGGAGCAAACGCTGACCCCCGGGCTCTTCCCTGCACTGACATCCCTCGGGGCACATGGTCTGTCCTGACATCTACAGCCCCTTCCCGCCGAGCCCATCGCAGAGCCAGGGCGGGTGCGATATGGGTGTCATCCTAAAAGGCTTTGGCGGGAGCAGGGAAGGGGCCACCAGGCTTGAGATGCCGGCTCTGCGCGTCTGAAAGCCTGCAGGGAGGGAGCAGGAGCTGGGCCCCCGGTGTTGGCAGCAGTGTCCCGCAAAGGCTCGAGGTGGAGCTGTCACCTGGCCTGAGACCACTGCTGGGGGGGGGTGGGGGGGAGGGCAGGGGGAAGGACAGGGCCCCAGAAGTTGCACCTTCATCCCTGACCTGCTCCCAGGTGCATGCACACACGCACACGTACACCCCCCCAACATGTGCAACGGGTGCGGTGCCTGCAAGAGGGTGCAGCTCTCCCACCCCATCGCTCCGGCGAGCTCCCACGCTGTGGGGACTGGGGTTTTTCTGGTGTTTAATCTGCTGATTTAGCTCTCAGACCCTTCATGGGTTTTGCTGGGCTTTTTTCTTTCCACCACTAACCCCCCCCTCCTCCCGGATTCCTCTGGAGCGGGAGAAAGGTACCATGGCAGCTGTGCCCCCCGCCTCCCCCGGGGCTCTTTAGTGTGGGGTGACAACCTGCTGGGTGCTGGATAAAGGAGGCACGGAGAAATACGGGGGGGGTAGGGGCTGGGGAGCAGCAGCACCCCCACCGCCAGGCAGGCGGGGGCTGCTTTGCTTTCTGAGGGCAGGAGCAGCACGGGCCCCGGGGTGCACCCAACTGAGCCCCAGCTGCTGGGGGGGGGGGGGGGCAGGAGGGGAGGGGGTGTCCCCAGGGAGAGCGTTTTGGCCACACGCAGGGCAAGGGAGGGGAACAAGCTCCCAGCCCAACAGCTCCCTGGGCGGGGCCAGTTGCTGAGATGCACAATTAACCGTCCTGTTGCAATTAATACACATGCTCTAACGGGTGGCGACGAGCAGGGCATGATTACGTCCACATACACACACACACACACACCTGGCTCCCGGGAGGGCTGTCTGCAGCCCCCCCCCTGCCCCCTCCTCGCTGCCCCACTGCACCCCCCAATCCCTCACTCGCCTCACCCTCTCCTTCCTCCCCAGGCAGGATGCAGGTTCGGGGCCTCCTCCTCCTCCTGGCACTGATCCTGCTGGCTGCCACCGCCGAGGCTGGCAAGAACAAGAAAGGTGAGGGGCAGCCGGGGGCGGGGGGGGCCCTGGGCACGCTCCTGTGCCCCTCCAGCGAGCACCCGCTCCCCCTTTTTCTCGCAGAGAAGGCAAAGAAGGATGGCTCCGAGTGTGAGGACTGGCGCTGGGGACCATGCGTCCCCAACAGCAAGGACTGTGGCCTGGGCTACCGCGAGGGGACCTGCAAAGACGAGAGTAAGAAGCTCAAGTGCAAAATCCCCTGCAACTGGAAGAAGAAGTTTGGAGGTGGGTGCGTGGCGGCAGGGGTGGCTGGGGACCACCCTGCGCTGGGTCCTGGCCAGCTCTGACGCCTCTCCCTTCTCTTCTAGCCGACTGCAAGTACAAATTTGAGAGCTGGGGGGGGTGTAATGCTCAGACAGGCGTGAAGACTCGCTCCGGCATCCTGAAGAAAGCCCTGTACAATGCCCAGTGTGAGGAGATCGTCTATGTGACCAAGCCCTGCTCTTCCAAGATCAAGTCGAAATCCAAAGGTGAGTCCCCACCACTCCTGTCCCCAGAAGGGTCCTGCTGGGACCCCGGGCAGGGGCTCTCCAGGGTTAGCTTGACCTGTTGGGATTGGGCTTTGTGCTGGTGGTGTGGGGGATTGCGTGGGATGCTCTTCCCTCTGCATCAGCACATGTGGCAGCCCAAAAGTTCAGCTGCTGGCTGGGTGGGATGCAGGCGCTGCTAGGAAACCACCACACCCCCCCCCGCCCCAAATCACCACCAGCTTCAGTGGGACAAGAATTTCCCCTTTTTCTCTGTGGGGCTGGTGCAAAAGGTGGCTTTGCATGGTGGGGGGAGGTTGCCTGCAAGGATGCAGCCCCAGCGCCGTGCTGAACTGGCCGTGCTGGCTACATTCCTGCCACGGCAGCACCTGGGAGATCAATGAGCTGCCAGCGGACATGCTAACTCTTGTCTACTTGTCTCCTGTGCTTCTCGGGTGCAGCAAAAAAAGGCAAGGGGAAGGACTAGAGCGGGAAGCCAGCATCCTCGTCGGCCCTTCGACCACGGTGCCCACGGGGCTGGACGCCCAGCTGCAGCCAGCCCACACTCCAGTCTTCCTCCTCCTTTCCTTCCTCCTTTCCATGACCTCCTCTTTCACTGAGATGCCTTGTTTTAATTGCTAGTGTTGTAGAGAGCAAACCCACCCACCCCGCAGGAGGGGTTGCCCCCCACCCCGCTGCCGGTGCATCCCACTCGCTTCTTCTCAGCTGGTGTTGGTTTGCTGGGATGCACCTGGAGAGCTGGGATGGGAACACACATTTTTCCACCTTCTGGCACAAATGACTTGCCTTTAGCGCATCCTTTGGCAAGCCTGGGAGCCTCCTTGCTCCTCGGGAAGGGCTGGGTGTTGAATGCCCAAGTAACCCCATCACTCATGCCCCTTACTCACTTGAAGACCGCTCAGGGAGCTTCTTCCAGCATCCCTTCAGTTGGGGCACAACTCCCCTGCAGCAGCAGCGGGGGGAAAACAAAGCCACGGCCCCCCAGAATCACCACATCCCCCCCTGCTTCTCCTCCATCACTTCTAACAGCGCGTGTCCGCGCCAGGGCTGCAGCCCCCCTGCCTTCGGCACGCCAACACGGGTGGCTGGGTGGGAGCTCTCACTTCTTTTGGAAAATGGGGTTTGTTTTCTTTTCCAATAAAAACCTTTAAAAAAAAAAAAAAACAAAAAACAAACAAAAAAACCCCACAACCAACAAACAGACCCACCTGTTGTCCCCACAAAGTGCTGCTGTGCTGGAAGCCCCAGCAAACCCCAGCTTTGCCAACCCTACTGGGACCAGCAGGGATGTCACCGTGCGGCTGGCGGCGGTGGCCTGGGTGCCACACGCATGGTCCCAGGGAAGGCGAGTGGCTCAGGCTTCCTGGCCTCTTCCCGGCAGCGCTTCGGGCTGCCCCCTACCCCACCTCAAGCTCGGAAGGAGGGATGGGGCTGCCACCCATGTGCTGCAGGAAATGTCACCAGTGAGTGACCCTGGGAAGCTGGAGAGGAGCGACCAAGTGACGACCCATTCACTCCTCACGCCATGGCCGATGGTTTCTGGTCCGAGGTCTTTATTTGTCTCAGGGTGGGTTGGGCCGTGGTTATAACAGTTTAAAAAAAAAAAAAACCAAAACAAAACAAACCTGCCAGACAGTTTGGGCACCACTATGTGAATTATTACCCTAAAGGAGACGGGGGTTGTCCCCATCTGTCCCCAATCTTTCTCCATGTTGCACAGCATTGCCCTGGCATGGGGATGGGAAGGACGTACAGACGTGGTTTGCCGGTGCCAGCGTGGCCCCGTCCTGTCCCTTGCCTGCACCCGGCTGTGGCCACCAAGGCTTGCAGAGACCTGGTGTTGGGAGAAGCTGAGGAGCCATCCCGGGGTGGGCTGGGGGGGTGTGGAAGGGGGGTGGAGATACTGGCTGGAGCCCACATGCTGAGGGCTCTGCCGTGACACCGGGTTACATCCATTCACAAAGCTCAGCAGCCAGATCCTTTGGCCTCCCTGACGCACCCCCCTCTGCACTGGGGCAGGAGTGGGGCTGGGGACCACGGCCATCCTCTCGACCCCCAGAGCTGTGCATCAGCCCTCCCACACCCACCATGGGGAGAACAGGGACCCACTCATGGCCCAGGTGAGACATGGGGCACCTTGGCCACACTGCAGACCCTCTTCCCAACCCTCTCCAAGGCCCCCAGCTTCCCCCGTCCCCTCCCAAGGACACTTATTTTCGCTGCCGCTGCTGCCCACTTCTCGGGGGGCCACGGCGAGAAGTCCTGCACCACACCACTGCTTTTCTTTGCAGTTTTAGTTTCCATCGTTGTAGGAGGCGACCGGGTTTCACACACCTCAGCCAGGAGCGAGATGCTTGATTTGTCTGTCTGTCCAGCCGATTGCTGGCTGGGGGCAGAAAGGGCATGAAGGGGAGAGCAGGGCCAAATCCCCACCCCCACAACAGTCCCTGGGTGAGGACGTACAATGACATCTCTCAAGGGAAAGGAAGGAGCTTGTCACAGCTGCTAGGGTGCAATTTTGATTGCTTGGGGAAGGGGTCTGGCTGGGTTAGCAGGACTCCCACCCATGAGCATGCCCAAGCCAGCCTGGTCCAAGATGGCTGGCAAATATTTGGCCCTGGTTTCTTTTCATTTCTGGGGTAATAAATGGTTTTAAAGCCTACTGAAAGCATCCAGCATTAAGCCCGTCTGCATGCAGACACACTCTGATGCCCTGGAGATGGTCAGCCAGGGGGAGAAGAGGCATCCAGTCTTAGGGCAAACACTGATGCCGTTTGGCCAGCCTCTCACTGAGGAGGGCTCCTGGTGACCATATCTCCTCCTCTTGCCTCCGGTTTTCCCGCTGGCTCCCCGAGCTGGTCCCTAGGCCCGGGGTGACTGGAAGGAGCTGCAGCTCAGAGGTGCCTTGGACCTTTGTCTGCACTGGATGAAGGGCATCAGCTGCAATCACTGCATAGTCTGCGCTGTCACGAGTGGGGAGCAGAAGACACCACCACCACCCCCTACCCCACCAGCAACGGAGGCAAAGGGAAGGGCTTCCGCAACGTTGCTGAAGTGGTCCCTGAGTGCCAGTTTATCTGGCTGTGCCAATGTTCCTGTACTGGCACATGAGAAGGTGCTTGAAGGTTTTCTTGAAAGTGGCATTGCAGAGGGCGTAGCAGGCTGGGTTGATGGTGCTGTTGACGTAGCAGAGCCAGTAGCCAATGGACCACACCGTTTCAGGTACGCAGGTCTCACAGAAGGTGTTAATGAGGACCATCACATTGTATGGAGTCCATGTGATTATGAAGGCTAGCAGGATAGCAAATATGGTGCGGGTGACTTTCTTCTCCCGGGCTGCCATCTGGCGCTTCTTCCGTACTTGGCTCCTGGCGATGCTTGCAAACTTCCTGGCAACGTTAGCCGGGCGGCTGTTGGCCAGGGAGTTGTGGTCAGAGGCTCCTGCCTTGGCCGGGACGATCTCGATGGCGGTGACACATTCGGTCCCAGTCTGCTTGGTGACGATCTTAATCTTGGACCACTTGGAAGATGGGTTCACCCGGGGGTGGGACGGGCTCTGTCCTTGCCCCGCTGGCAAGATTTCTGCCGTGGGCTTGTCTTTTGTGGTCTGGGTCATGCTGACAGTGCTGGACTCATTGGAGGTCTCCTTCTCCTCCTGATGGCCAGTGGCCTCTGTCTGTGCTGAGGGCTGGTCATCCACTTTCCCATTCCTCACCTCCTCTTTCACCTCCATGGCCTTCTTGGGGGAGTTATTGTTGTTCTGCTTGATCAGGGGGCCCTTGAAGAAACTAAGGGATTTGCCTTTCCTCTCTTTCCTGCTTTCAGGCTTGTGCCTCCTCACCCTGCTCCTGCTGGCCAGGGAGATGTGGATGTACAGCACTGTCATGATGACCACAGGCAGGTAGAAAGCAGCGATGGCCGTGCCGAAGGTCACCGCTGGGTTGGAGAGGAACTGGATGTAGCATTCCCTCTCGGGGACTGTCCTCTTGCCCACAATGAACTGCCAGAACAAGATGGCAGGGGCCCAGAGAACGAAGGACAATATCCACGCGGCCGCGATCATTAGCCCCGCCATCTTGGTGGTCCTCCTGGCCGGGTATGTCAGGGGCTTGGTGACACAGAAGTACCGGTCAAAGCTGATGATGAGCAAGTTCATGACAGAGGCATTGCTCACCACGTAGTCCAGGGCCAGCCACAGGTCGCACACCACGGGCCCCAGCGGCCAGTAGCCTTTGATGATGTAGACCGTGTAGAGGTTCATGGAGAAGACCCCGATGATGAGGTCCGCACAGGCCAGGCTGAAGAGGAAGTAGTTGTTGACAGTCTGGAGCTGGCGGTTCACCTTGATGGACAGCATCACCAGGATGTTCCCCACCACAGTGACGAGGCTGAGCGAGCCCGTGACCGTGGCGATGAAAACCAGCTCCACCGTCTTGTAGTTGGTGGGAGGCTGGATGGCCACCTCGGAGCGGTTGCCCAGGGTGAAATTGTCGTAGGTCAGGTTGGCCATCTTCGCCTGCCAGGGCTGAGCAGAGAGGTTGTGCATGGGGTCTGCAAGGGGAGCGGGGACAGAAAGGGAGAATGTCATACCTGCCAGCTCATGCTGGCAGCATTTGCTGCCTCCTCGGTTTCCCAGGCCAGTGTCAACCCTTGACCAGTTCCTAAAAACCTCCCGGCGTTGCTGGGTTTGTCTCTGCCGTTGCAGTCTTCCCCCGGGAGATCTTTGAAGGCACTTTTTGTGTCCCCATTTAGCAATGGAGGAGACGCACAGGGCTGCAGGGAAGGGAGCAGGGACAGGGCTGGGGACAGCCCTTTGGCCGGGGTGCGATGTCCCCTTGTCTGCAGGGACAGGAACCACCTCCCAGCGGGAGCAGAGGCCTGGGAGGCACGCAGAGAGGCTGAGGGGCTGCAGGAGGCTGCGGAGCCGAGCAGTGAGGCACAGCTGGGAGGGCAGCACGGCACAGAGCCCGTGCCCTGCCCCAGGGACAGGAGCAGGTTGATGGTACGTCCCAAGCGTGTCCCACTGGCCTCCCCAAAGCACCTCCCCAAGAGGGGGTACCCCACAAAACCCATGCCATGGTCCGCTCAGCTCACCTGTGTCTCTGGCAGCAAACAGCTCCTTCTGGAAGATGAAATCTAGGACAGGGAAAACAGCAAGTTACACTACAGCTTCAGCCCCGAGGAGTTCATCCGAGGCCCACAACATCTTCTGGGGGGGGGACACCAGCCTTTCCAACAGAGGTGGCTTTAACAAAGGGGTGACACTGCTTGGAGGCAGGTGCTGAAAACCCAAACAAGGCTGAAACTGGGTAATTTGGCTTGGTCTGGTTCACAGCCAAGCCCCAACAGGCACGAGAGGGGGAAGGGGCCACATGAGTGCCATCAGCCAGCAATGCTGGGAAATGTTGTCCCCTTCCCCCAGTCCCACGTCACACTGCAGCTGCAGCTGTGCTGGCTGTGGAGAAGTACGTGGTGAAACCAGCCCTCTCAGCCGGCTACGTGGAATTATTTATGAAAGGTGGCAAGAATGATGGACAGAAAATCTGCTTTCATCCAAACAGAGATGCCTGTGGTTAACCCCCCGAGGTAAGAGGAGAATGGACCTTAAAAAAAAAAAAAAGAAATAGAAAAAAAATCAGTAGACCAAAATCCATGCATTGGGATGAAGGGGAATTTCCCAGAAGAGGAAGGAGAAGCAAAGGCACTGGGGAAGGTGGGCTGGAGAGGGGAACTTCCCATCAGACCTGCCTCTCCCGCACCACCCAGGCCCCCAAAACCTGCTGGGCCTTCCCCAGCCTCACCCTGGGTGCCGGGGGCATCCCGACCCCACCAGCCCAGCAAGGACAGCGGCTCCAGCAGCCCCTCCTGGGACTGGGGGTCCTGCCGGGCTGCCCAGCCATCCCCTTGGGCGCTGCGGCCAGTAGCCCGGCGGTATCTGGGGTGACGGGGGGGGTGCACACTGATGTGCACAGCGGGAGCGCTCGGCACAGCGTGGCTCTGCAAGCTGGCTCGGGCAGGGGTGCTGGATCCAAACTCCTGGGGGTCCTGAGGCTGGTTTTGCTAAATGTATAAACATGCCATTAACGCGTGCCTCTCCGAAACAGGGTTTGGCAGGCTTCGGGATCAGTTTTTGTTTTTTAAAGTCTCTTAAAAGAAATGCACTCGCCTTTCGTTTGTGGTGAAGGGAGGAGATTTCTGCCATCAGCAAACAGCCAGGGTTTTAATATAACCGCTTTTTAAAGAGATGCAGGTGTGAGAAAATGGGAGCAGGGCTGCTGAGATGCTAAATCCGGGGTACCAACATAGCTTGTGCATTAACAAGGCTACAGCTGCGATAGCGGCTGGGCTTTTCTTACACGTGCAGGGGAAAGAAGCAGGTGAGGGACAGGGAAATACCGCTGTACCATTATCCTCTGAGCCCGTTACACATGGCCCATGCGTGTGTTGAAAAGAAAGCAACACCGTCTGGTAGGTACTAAACTCTAAATACTGGCAGGGCGAGGAAGCCGGGTGGCACTGCCCAGCTTTGCACCTCAGCTCCAGGCACAAGGGATGCATCAAGGGAGAGGGAAAGCGGCTTCTGCTGCCATCTTTCCTGGGCACCCAGCCAGGGAAGCGAGAAGAGGTGATAAGTGTATAAAATAGCTTAGAAATATATAATCGTGGCAGTTTTGGGGTTGGTTTCAGTACAATTGAAATGAGTTTTAAATTCTTCACTTCTCTCAAATGGAGAGATTTAGCTGTCATTCTTGTAACAGCTAATCAAACCGATCAGACAAGCTAGCAATCAAGCAGACATCTACCCCAGCTCTTCCAGAAAGAATTTGAAAATCTTGAAAAGAAACCTTTCCTTTGTCTCTGCTAAAATGAGGGTTTCAAGTTTTTCACTTTAGTTTGTGAACCGGCATCCTCTTTTGAGTGCATTTAATTAATTATCAGCCTTGACGGAGGCTTGAGTTCTCAGTTGCCCGAAATAAGAAAAGTCCATCTCACCCCTACTCCATAAAACTGTTTGTATGAGTCACAAGAAATGAAGCAGAGACCAGCGCAGCCCCACTCGCGTGTCGTTGGATGCCACCCAGAGGTCATGCTGGAAACTGGTGTGCCGAGACATGGGCAACTGCAGCCCCAGGGTGAAGGACTTAAACAGCTATTTTGGAAATGAGCCTTCACTAAAGGGCAAAAATAGAGCAGCCTCCCGTTTGAGGGTAGGAGGGGGAATGAAAGTGGTCGGGAGTGTGAAGATAGTTACAACACAGATGCACAACACCATGTACAAGCTGGAAGGTGTGTACACCCCTCACCTCAGACACCCTGGATGTTTTCTGCCATGCCCCAGCCTATTGGGGACCCCCTTCTTTCCCCATCTTCTGCTCTCCACATCCCACCATCTCTCTCTTCTGCCCCAACACCCTCTCTGAGCTCATCGGGACTAAATGACTCCCCCATGCCCACGTCTCTCCTCCTGCACCTCCAGCAGCACATCTCTCCCTCCCCTCATGCCCCTCGTCCCCCACCGCTCTCTCCCACCTCCACGCCAGCACCACAGCCAGGGAGGAGACAGCCTTGGCAAAGCCCAGAAGCCACTTTGGAAGGGCTCCTGGGGCTGAGGCCCCTACCCACGACACCAACCAGCTTTTCAGCCCGCACGCTCCATCCCTTGTCTGCGGCCCTCAGCGGGGGCTCCCCCAGACCTGCTCTCACCAGGCAGCTACAGTAAACTCCATCACCTGCCTCCTCCCTCCCTAGGACTTCTGGCAATGATTTACAGCTGGTTTTCTCCTCTCCATCAAAGCCATTAGGAGCTTCCAACTCTTCACCGATAGCACTTTTTGGTCTAAAGGGTTTCTGTGGCCCCTGCAGCGCTCAGCCAGCATGTCCCTAGGACAGGGAAACGCCTTTCCCTCCCCACCCAACATCTTGCATGTTATGGAGGAAGATCCAAGCGGAGAAGGTTGTAATTTGTGTGGGGTCCACCTAATCGGGGCAGCGCTTGGCACAGCAGGGCCCCCCCCCATCATTGCCTGAGATCGTGGGTACCACCACTGTTGGGTGAGGAGACAGCTCCAGAGCAAGAGAGAAAAGCCAGTCCTGCCTGCCCTTCCCCGGGCACAGGGTGACATCCGAGGGCACGGCGGAAAAGCTCCTGCCATTTCCTTGTCACACACCTAATGTGACACTCCAGCAAGCCTTCCCAGCTTGTCAGCCCCTGCAAAAGGCCTTGCAGCCCATCGCCAGGTGGGAAAGGAGAAAGCCCTGTCATGGGCTGCTGATGGTCATCCCCTACCCAAAAATTCCGCACTGGCCAGAGGCAGGTGCTCCATCGGGTGCAGTTAGTGACCGAGTGCCAGCTGAGCACTCAACCCGTGTGGGACGGAGGGTCTCGGTCCCTCGTGCCCACCCCACCCCCACAGCGAAGGCAGCACGAGAGGCTGGTATTCGTGCACACCCGTGCGATGGTGGCACCCCGAGCTGTGGGATGAGCTCCTGGAGCAAGCAGCCCTACTGCCCAGTGTCCCCGGCTCCCTGGGCCCCCTCACAGCCCCTGGTCCCTCAGGCCACCACCAGCCGCCCCCCTCCCTGCTCCGTCACTGCCTCCGTCCCAGCCCCATCCTCATCCTCGGGGTTGGGAGCAGGGGCAGAGTCACAGCCGGTCCACGTGCGGCTTGAAGTGAGGTCTCTGGGAATGAGCAGGGCTGTGCACGCACCTGGCACGCTCGGCAAGCATCACCACCAAAAACCAAGCCCCCGTGCCAGTCAGGGGAAGAAGACATTCGTAGGGGAAGAAGAGGAATGAGAGAAACTGTTACTTTCACAGAGGCTTCTGAGGGTGAGCTGCTCCCAGAGGAGAGGAGCTTTTGCTTTGCGTAGGCACAATCAGCCCTTTGGAGGAACAGCAAAGCTGAAAAGACCTCAAGTCCATGGGGCTCCCACCCCAGCAGGGATGGGGTGGCTCCTGGCTGGCTGGATCCTGTGGGGCTCCGGGCACTGCCTGTCCCCAGGACTGAGGGAAATTGGTCCCCTCCACCGCAGGGACATCCCGGGGGAAAGCACACATCACCCCCTGCTCCGGCTGGGGCCAGGGCACAGCAGCTCCAGCATCACCCTTGGAAAGAGCCTTCCCAGCCCTGCTGCGGGCCCCCTGCTCGTCTTGGCCTTCCTAAAAGCGCCCAAAGGGTGAAAAATCTTAACGGGATTAGTTCCGTCATGTCAAACTGCTGATGTGACGTGGGCCTGGGCGGTTAGGGCAGCCACAACCAGAATTTGAGGAAAGGAAGGAGGGAAAAAAAAAAAAAGAGGGCAGGGATAGAAGATGCTGAAGGGTACTTGTGTTTACAGCTGGTGCACACAAAGGGAAGGGATGCTCAGGGAGGGGTGACAGTTTGTGGTGCTAATTGCATTACCTAATAGCCGTTAATTAGTTCCTGAGTCATGGCACCAGTTTACAGCTAGTGAAGGATTGTTCTGCTTGACAGATTCACACTCCTCAAAGAGTGTGAAAATAGAGCTCCTAGAGACCAGGAACAGGAGCCTTAGAAATACGATATATGGGGGAGCCCCGGTGCCTGGCGGGGGGATTTGCCTGGGTTTGTCCCAGTGGGGACCCCTCAGGTCCCCAGCCTGCTCCAGAGGAGATCTGAGGCACTGCGCCAGAGGACTTGCTTCTTGCCAGTCATGGATAGGGCGGATCTGACCATTTTATTTTTCCACTGAATAATTTATTCCTCTTTCTTCCCCTGCTATTTAACTGGTTCTCATGAGGCAAAGCAAATTCCTTCATCCTCACAAGCTGGGAGTCTCTGACAGCTTTTCCTGGAGCCACTGGTGAAGCAGTGAGCTCAGCAGCACAGGAGCTGCCAGCTTTTGGGGGGAGGCGGGGGAGCTGGAGAACCCCCCCCCTCCCATGTTCAGCACGGGTTTGCGCATCGCGGTTCAAAAATTTGCTGTGTCTGGGGTCAGAAGGGAGCGTTGCAGTCATCCAACCTGAGCACCCACCCTGACCGAGCCGGGGGCCTCCCTTGCCTTCACTCCTGCTTATAACCAGGTGGTTGTCGCTGGGTTTCAAGGCAAAACCGAGGCACCCCCGTGCAAGGCTGCGTGCACCTGGCCGTGAGAAGCGCTTGGAGGTCAGAGCTGTGGCTTACAAGCTGCTCATGTAAGCAGTGCCCAGCCCAGCATCCCACAGCTGCACCCTTGCCCGAGCTGGCCCCCCCCGGTGCTTGCCTGTACCCCTAAGGTGCTCTGTACCATACGCAGCTCGTAAGGGGCTACATACCATCTACCCACAGCATTCCCAGACAAATCAGTGAGAAAGTGGGTTTAAGTGGTTAAAAGTCACTCTTATAAATAACCTATCAGCGTGCTGGCTGCTCTGACAATTAATTAACCACCTGCCACCCAATTATTAGGCCCAATAAATGGCTTGTCAGTGGAACACTAATAGCGAGCCGGCCCGGCAAACGTGATGCAAGCCAAAGCCTCAGCCAAAACCCAGCCTTACCTCACCGTGCCCAGCCCATGGCTCCTGGGCACCGGCAACTCCCCAGCAGCTTCCATGCCGGCTCCAGTGGGTAACATCACGGGGGGAGAAGGCTCACTGCAG